GGTTGTTGATGAATCTTTCCCTGAGCCTTTTGCCACATTCTTCTCTGTAGAGTCTGTCTTTATGAGTTATTTGCTCAACATATAGATTGAATAGGCATGAAGAAAGGATACAACCCTGACACATACCCTTCCTGATTTTAAACCATGCAATGTTCTTTTATTCCATTCAGACAACATCTTCGTGGTCTAGGTATAGACTTCATATGAGCACAATTAAGTGTTCTGGGATTCCCATTCTTCTCAATGTTAGCCAGAGTTTGTTGTATGGTAAGGAATTGAGTTTCCAATGCAAAGATAGACAGTTTGAACTCAACAGTTGTGCCACAGGAGAAAGATGGGCAATCCCTCTCCCTTGAAAGTATCCATCTCTGAAAATCCACTGGAGGGTCAGCAATGGTCACTTCTGAATTGATGGGACACAACAGCAAGAGAGGACAAGACCAAGGACTGAGATTTAGGGCACTCCAACATTTGTATATTGGGGAGGGGAGAATGAACAAATGAGCTGGAGAAAGTTGCTGGTAGAGAAAAGTCAAGGAAAGTACAGATTCTGGAAACATAAAAACAAGGTTTTCATTGGCTGATTTCCAGAAGTAGGTCATCATGTCTATCTTCTTGGTCTGTCTTAACCTGGAAGTTCTAGAAAAACCTGTATAGCAGAGTAGCAACAAGCCAACCTTCAATGACAGATAGGTGTTGGCTGAGCATAATAAGGAGCCTTGGCTGGAAATGAACCTAGGTCTCCTGGATGGAAGGCAAGAATTCTACTACTCTCCTGGTAAAGGAGAGCAGAAAAATGAGGACCAGTCAAAAAGAATGAGTGAGTAGGAAACTATTCTAATAGTTGTTGTTGTTGTTGTTGTTGTTATGTGCCATTGAGTCACTTGTGACTCATAGCAGCACTATGTACAACAGCCCTAAACCCTGCTCTCTCCTGTGCCAACTATATTGTCTCTGACACACCTACCCCCATTACCCTAGTCACTGAATCAATCCATCTCTTTGAGAGTCTTCCTCTCCTGCACTGCCCCTCCACCCACTCAAGCATGACGTCCCTCTCCAAGGACTGGTCCCTCCTTGCAACATGTCCAAAGGATGTCAGATGAAGCTCCAGAATCCTTGCCTCCAAGGAGCATCCTGGCTTAGAGAAGAGGGAAAAAATGATGCAGTAGAGAAAAGAGACAATTAGTAGAGCAGTGTTCCGGTGTAGGGTGAGGTAGAATGGATCCTCATGGACAAGGGGTGAAACAAAGGCATGAATCCACAGTGACAGAGAAGAAAATATTATGGGCATGGATTTGGATGGGGAGGTGCACATGAAGGAAAGGTTTGTGAGCATTTTCCTGTTACGGCTTCCACTCTTTCAGTGAAATGAAAGTTGATCAATTCCAAATGAGAACAGAGGAGAAAGTGTGAGGCAAAGAAGAGATGTAGCAGAGTGGGAAAGTGAATGGAGGGATGGGTAAATGAATAAAAATTAAACACAGTAAAGTCTTCATGTAAATACTTATGACTTTAAAATGATGTTAAATTGAGTGTGGTTATGTGTGTTCTCCAGCCATGTTTAATCTCTGAGTGCTGGAGCAGAATCAGAATCAGATAGATGGAATGAGTTCATGGGGCAGGTCCAGGGAGTAGAAAGCATATGTGAAGGGCTTATAAGAAACACAGGCCATGCAGTTTGGGTTAGGAATGGAATGAAATAAGGCCACTAAGAGGGTCAAGGACTGGGGAGAAAATGGTAAAATAATGAGTTGTGAGCCCAGGCAGAGTTCTAGAAGTGTGGGCATTGAGATACTAGAATGAGTGGAATGGAAAGAAGATGATGGGAGGAGAGGGACGGAGATAGTTGAAATGAGATTTTTGAGGAATTGTAGATACTGGGGAGTGCAAGATCCTGAAAGGGAGCAGCCTGGGTGGGAAGTGGAGGGCACTGTCATTGGAGAAAGAAATCACGGGCCTGTGAGGCCACCGTTCTGAACGTATCACCCACGTAGATAGACACTTATAGCACCAAACACTAGGGCATGAGTAGCGCTGGTGTGACAGTGAGTCAGGAGCGAAAAATCTTAAGAAGTGAGGAAACAGCCTCAAGAATCATTGCTGATTGCAGGTGGTGCAAACAGGCCTGTGAGTGTGTTCTGTGCTGCATTCCTGGCTCATTAATCTTCAGTCTTTGTTTTCTAGTCAAGTATTTTCCTCCAAATACAGCTTAAACATGAGGTTTGATACATCCCTCACTATTATTTGGTCTTAACATATCTTCAAATATTCTTATTTGACTAATGAGTTCTTTTTAAACACACTGGGGTTTGAGTTTTTAAAAATAAACAAACAAAAGCTTAAAAAAAAAAAGAAAGAAGCAACTTCTCCACCCCCCTCGGCCCCACTATAATTTAACTGCCTGGGAGGCTGGGCTGTATGAAGAAATGTGTCATCAGGATTGGATGAAGACTCATCAACAACCTATGTTATGCAGATGACACAATCCTGCTTGCTGAAACTAAAGAAGACCTGAAGTGCTTGCTGCAGAAGGTCAAGGACTGAATCCTTCAATATGGATTGACGCTCAAGATCAAGAAAATAAAGATTATCACTACTGGGCCGACTGGCAGCATCATGATAGACAGTGAAAAGATTGAGATTGTTAACAGCTTTAGTTTGCTTGGCTCCACAATCAACACTATTGGTACCAAAAGGCAGGAAATTAAGTGGTTAATTGCATTGGGAAAGTCTGCTGTCAGGGACATCTCCAGAGTACTAAAAAGCAACAATGTCAGTCTGGAGACTAAAGTGCACCTGATGCAGGCCATGGTCTTTCCAATTACATGCTATGCATCAGAAATCTGGGCAATGACTAGGGATGATGACAGGAGAATTGAAGCCTTTGAACTGTGGTGTTGGAGAAGAGTGTTGAATATACAATGGACTGTTAGGAGAACAAACAGGTTCATCCTGGAAAGGGTAAAATTAGCATGCCCCTTGGAGGCAAGGATTCTGAAGCTTCGTCTGACATACTTTGGGCATGTTGCGAGGAGGGACTGGTCCTTGAAGAAGGACATCATGTTTAGAAGGGTGGAAGGACAGCACAAGAGAGGAAGACTCTCAAGATGGATTGACTTAGTGACTGGGAAAATGGGGGTAGGTGTGTCAGAGACAAGAAGGTTGGCTCAGGATAGAGCAGGGTTCAGAGCTGTTGTACAGTTAAAGCCCATAACAACAACAATAATTTAACTATACCTGTACTGTGTTTCCATAGTCCTCTGTGATCTCTCTTTTATATCTGACCTACATCAGGAAAGTGTGAGGATGGCACAAGATAGGCCAAGGTTCAGATTTATTGTTCATAGGGTCGCTATGGGTCAATACTTGATGTGATGGCACCTAACAACAACAATAATGGAGTCCCTGGGTGGTGTATGTGGTCAATGCACCATTGAGTGAAAGGTCAATGGTTCAAGTCCACCCAGAGGCACCTTGGGAAAAAGAGCTGGCAAGGTACTTCTGAAAAATCAGCCATTGAAAACCTTATAAAGCACAGTTTTAAAGTGACACACATGGGGTTACAATAATTCAGAGTCAGCTTGATAACAATTGGGGATTGATTTGTTTGTTTATTTGTTTGTTTGTTTTGAGTGCCTGGGTGCCTTGAACAGTCTAGTACATGGCTTCTAAACAAAAAGTTAGTGGTTCAAAACCATCCAGAATTGCCTTAGAAGAAATACCTGACTATTAACTGACAAAACATCACATCTAAAACTCTATAGAATAACTTGAAGTCTTCTTGAAACCCTATGGTTTAGTTTAATAAAAAAAATGTCTGCTCTGATTATTATGATGGCCTTTTAAGGTTTATCTGTGTTTGATGAGACATTAATGTATTACATTAACCAACTGCAGTTATAATATTATAAAATAAAATATGTATGAATAATTGAATGGAAACCAATATATTTGTAAACTTTCACTGAAATTTAAAGAGAAAAAAAAATCTATCAGTATCATACTGGACCTATCCAATCCAAGCTTTATCTGTATCAAAAAATCTATAGGGATCAAATTGGCAACAGGAACTGGAAAGATTGAGAATCTGAGGGTCCAGGAAGCGTGTGTTAATGTGTGAGGGAACAGATCCCAAAAGAAAAAAAATAAAGATGAGAATGGTTGTATAACTCTTAAGAATATGAAAAATAGCACTGAAATGTACATGTCGCACATTGGTGAGCAAGCTTGGCCGTTCGTGTGCTCAACAACATCTCTGACAACGAGAAAGCCTCACGGAACCCAGTTCTTCTGAGAAATGCTGGGAGTGACCGTGAGTCAGTCGACTCCATGGCAACTGGCTAGGTTCTTGGTTTTATTACGCAGCATGTTTTTCTTCTCCACCAGACTCGAAGTTCCTTGCATACACGATGTGGATGAATGAGTGAATGCCTCTTGTTCCCACCCCCTTTTTGGTATTCCTTTCCCCTCTGGCCTCACCTTCCTTCCTGGCTTAGTTCCTGTGACTCCCCCATGTCCTGTGATTCCACGTCTCCTCTGACATCATCCTTACTCACTGAGTAAACATCCTTAGAGCATATGGAACATGCCATTCACTGAACTAAGTGTGGGAGTTGTTGTTGTTGTTGTTATTGTTGTTAGGTGCCATCAAGTATAACTCATACTGACCCTATGACCCTGTGGCCCTATGCCCCTATGAACAACAAATCTGCATCCTGTCCTGATCCTGTGCTGCCATCATCATTTCTGACACACTTGAGCCCATCGCTGGCAGTCATTGAGTCAATCCATCTCCACTGTACAAAGTCTTTGACTCTGAAGAGCTCTCCATTAGAGAAACAGGAACAAATCATAGAGCATGATGGTTGGGTGAGTTTACAGAGAGAAGACCTAACTCAGCCATGGGGCTCGTGGAGGACATGAGAGGAAGACTTTGGGGTGTATGCCAGGCCACTCTCCTTCTCACACTGACTTCCTCTCTACCTGCCCTTCCTCAGACCTACGAGCAGCGGAAGGTAGTGGAGTTCATGTGCCAGACGGCCTTCTTTGTCAGCATTGTGATTGTGCAGTGGGCTGACCTCATCATCTGCAAGACCCGCCGCAACTCAGTCTTCCAGCAGGGCATGAAGTGAGCTCCCTCAAAGACCCCAAACACTCCCCAACATGAATACAACAGCCGTTCCCCACCTCTTCTGCCTGTCTCCAACACATCGATAAATGTTTCTTCCCAGAAACAGAGTCCTAATATTTGGGATCTTGGAGGAGACATTGCTGGCTGCTTTTCTGTCCTATACTCCAGGCATGGACAAGGCCCTGCGAATGTACCCACTTAAGTAAGTAAAAAAGAGGATGCTCCCATAGGGACCTTCGGGCACAGGGAGGGCATCAGAGGAAACCACTATGTGAGCAAGTGTCCTAGTTGTCTGAGTAACTGGGGCCACACACAATGATGGAGAGTAGTAGTCATCTGGGCTTTGCTAAATGGGCCTTAGAGAGAGATCAGAAACGATGGCAACTGATCAAAACCCATTAGACGTGCAAATTTACCAGGCACATATATATTGTGTTTAATATATTGAAATCTTCTATGACGATGTCTATGTAGTGTGTTTGTTCAATGATACCTATTACATGGGGCTGAAGGAACCATGAAAATAGTCTAATCTGTGCATGGATAATTCTGCTGTATTTATGCAAATATGTTTTAACATTTGTATATGTGAGTGGGCATGTTGGAATTCTTCAAGGTCTAGTACTTTTATTCAATTCACATCTTTTTCCTTTTTTTTTAACATCAGTTCATGCTTGTTGAAAAGTTCTGTTTAAAATATCTAGAGGAAAGAAAACTTCCCACCTCAACGTGTCTCCCAGGATCTCCACGTCACTGACCACCTGTCGGTCATTTTTCTACATATCTGCACATATCATTTCTCACCTTTACACTCCATTCCATCCATTGTATATGTTTAGTGGGAGAAATTAGCTCTGGCTTTAATGCAGACAATACTTGATTTGTATCAGTTGTTGTTGCTGCTGCTGTTGTTGTTGTTGCTGTTATTGTAAGGTGTCATAGAGTTAAGTATGACTCATAGTAATCCTATGAACAACAGATCTGTCCTGTCCTGTGTCATCCTCATCAATTCTGACACGCTTGAGCCCATCGCTACAGTCACTATGTTAATCCGTCTCATGGGGAGTGTTTCTCTGACCCTCCACCTTTCCAAGCACGATGTCCCTTTCTAAGGAATATTTTCTCTTAGCGACATGTCTACAGTATGAGGGATGAAGCTTCACCACCATCCTTGCCTCTAAGGAGCACTCTGGCTGCACCTTCTCCAAGATATACTTGTCTGTTCTTTTTTCAGTCCATTAGATATTCAGCACTTTTCTCTAACACCACAACTCAAAGGCGTACATTCTTCCTCTGTCACCTTTATTGATTGTCCAGCTCCCAGATTCATAACAAATGATTGAAAAGACTGGCCTGAATTAGGCTCACCTCACTTTCCAAACTGACATCATTGCTCCTTAGTACTTTGGAGAAATCCCTGACAATAGGCTTTCCTGATACAATATGTCTTTTGATTTCTTGACTGCTACTATCAAGTGTATTGATTGTAGATTCAAGCAAGATAAGTGCACTGCCATTCTGAGTCTTAGCTTTACCTGCAGAGTTTCAATAATACATACCCAGCAAATGGTTAGGAGAATCATATACAGAAAATCTGCATAAGATATTCCACACAGGGCCTGGGCCATGATCGGCAGAACAACAGCTTTATGAGGGGGAAGAATCTGGCCTGCAAAACAATGCATTCAAATTTTGTAAATAAACTAGTCTAATTTTTTTGAAGCAGCTTTACTGATGTTACAATGACTATTAATATGTAATAGTAAATACAATCAGTATATACCTGAACTGTAAAAATTCACTCACTCACTCATTGCTGTTGAGTTGAACTGGCCCATAGCTGACCCTCCAGTGAGTTTTCAGAGGCTGTAAATCACACAGGAGGAGACTGCCCATCTTTCTCCTATAAAGCCACTGGTGGATTTGAACCACCTGCCTTGCCATTCAATTCTGTATTCCCTAGGCCATCGGAATATCCCGGACCATTAATATTCTAACAATTGGTTTTATCATGTTTATGTTCTTTCCCCTGACTTCCTTAAGTTCCTTAATCAAGAACTATCAGGTAATTATTTTTACTTCCCTAGAAATTAAACAGGCAAAGAATGGGCATATGATTGTTAATAATTGATTCTGGGTATACTGGGTTAATGAAAATATTTTATTAAAATTAATTTCCCCTGTACTTTAAAAAAAAGATATTTTCATACAGCTACTAGAACATTTTATATTTCATAAGTGACTCACATTATCTTTCTATTATAAAGCACTGGTCTAGGCCTTTTCTTCTCTGTCATCCAAGAGAACAAATCCAACTTCCTAGTCTCTAATAACAGTCCAGGAAGTCCAGGAAGGAAAAATGTTCTCCTTCTATAAGGGAATAAAATACATATAATTCCACACTACATGTTTAGAGAATGTCTCTGACAGTCCCATCCTTCTTGAGCAACTTCTTTGTGGGTACAAGGCCTGGGATGCCCAAAGATCAAAGGGAGTCTCCCTCAACAACTCCGCAGAAGTTGGTAGATAAGCACTGTGCACACAGCGTGCACCTCTAAAACGACATTTATATTATGATTGGCTTCCCCCACTAGCGTCCACACTGAAGGTGGCCTATCAGTAGCATTTCAGGACTTCTTCTGAGGCAGCTCTGGGTGGATTTGAACCTCCAACCTTTTGGCTAGCAGCCAAGTGCTTAACCATTTGCATCATCCAAGGACTCCTTATCACTCATTTTTATGTTTCTTTCATGTTGTACCTTTTCTCTCCACCTCTAGTCCTTCACCTCCCGGGCTCTGACCTCTTCCTAAAGACAGAGATCTGATGGTAGTCATCTCTGTGTCCCAGTGCCCAGCACAGCCCCAGACACACAGAGGATGTGTCATAACAATGCCTGTGCATGGTTCTCTGGCCCTCGTTTCTCCTGCCACACTGACTAACTCTTCCTCTTTACAGGGCAACCTGGTGGGCCTGTGCCATGCCCTACAGCCTTCTTATCTTCATCTATGATGAAGTCAGGAAATTGATCATCCGACTAAGGCCTGGGGGTGAGGCTCTCAAGCCCTGTTTTGACTTACGGGCCACCAGCTCCCTAACTCGCTCTCCCACCACATTGGTTCTTCCAGACTCACTGCATTCCCAGCTTCCGATCTCACTGTCTGATCTTTAGTGGGCCAAGACTCCTGACTCCACCAACCATCCCTTCCTATCCTTAGACTTTTACTATCCCTCCTGTCATCCCCACATGGTGCCTTCCCTAGTTCACTCTGGTCTCTTCTTACCATAGGCTGGGTGGAGCAGGAAACCTACTACTGAACTCAGCAGAGGAAGAGCCGCACTGGATATGGGAATAGGGGTGGGTGTGAGGGTTAGGGGTTCTGAGTTTGACAAGACATCTGAGAGGTCTTCTGATTTGGAGACAGAGAGATGGATTACCTCAGATGAGAGAGAAATCCTGGGCTTGTCTGGGCATGACAGGTAGCAATGGGGGTGGGTTAGGGCAAATCCAGTGCGCATCTAGCTGGAGACCTTGGGAAGGGTGTGTGTGCTCCTCTGTTGACTCTAACAGCCAGTCTGGAGAGTAAATGTTTGGAACCAGCTTTCACTAGTCTGGATGTGTCCACTTTGACTTATGGAGAGTAGAGACGCTCTGGTGGCACCGTGGTTAAGAGCTCATCTGCTAACAGGCTTCTGCTGAGTAGAATCTACTGCCGGGCAGTTCCTCCTCCCGACATGGACATGGACGTGGCAGTCTGCTGCTATCAAGATTGTCCCTTGGGAAACCCTTTTGTTCTACTGTGTCCTGAAGGGTCATTATAGCTGGAATACACACAACAGCAATGGGTTTGGTTTGAGGGTTTTGAGGGTAGGGCGTGATTACTGCAACACCCTCTCCCTAGGTCAACATGGTGATTGGCCAAGGAGAATCCGAGATCACATTCACAGTGGGGAGGGGAGCAGAGTTAAGGATCTTTGCCGCTTGAGGGCTCTCCTCCAACTTAAAGTCACTCCCCTCTCCCATGGAAAGCAAAGGCATGGCCCCTTGTAACTGCCCCTCCCCAACAATGTAAAACTAGGATCAGAGAAGTGAGAAGATGGGGAGCAGAATAGCTGAATCCAGCATAATAGGGAGGGACCAGGGCACCTATCCTGGGGCTGGGCGGGATTGGCTCCTCGAGCCCCCACCTCAAGGAAAAGATGGACACTGCCCTCAAATGTGATTTACAGCTCCCTGAAACCCACCGGGGAAAGTCAGCAGTGAGTCGATTCCAACTCAACAGCAATGTGTTGAGTTCAGTTCCCCAGCCTGTAGGCTGTCATAGGGTCCCTAGAGCTAAAAGAGACCTTTAATGTGGATGAAGAGCCTGAGGTCCAGGGAGGTTCTGGTGACTTGGGAATACTGTGGAGTTAGTTGGGAATGAGGACCCAGAGCTGCTGCTCTGAAGGAGGGAATGGGCCTAACGGAAGGACTCCAGGAAGACTGGTCCCTCCCTGCCCTCCAGGCCCACTCAGCAGGGCCTCTCAAGCCAGTCTCACCTTTCTTCCTGTTTTCTCTGGTGGGACCTGTGACTGTGACTAGACTATAACAATTCTAGCTGAGTCCCTGTAGCTTTTAGTTTAGGTGAAGCTCCTGCCCCTCCACCCAGGCTTCTGGGGTAATGGACGTCCCCATGAGCTTGGTCTCAAGGCTGGGGCCCCACATTTTCTGTGAGCGATCTCAGAAGAGTCTCCTCCTTCTCCCTCTGCTCAATGGTTCTTCCTTTCCTTCCTGCCAGTGAATTCTTGCTCAGGACTCTCAGAGTGGAGAGGCGGCTGTGCAAGAAAGTATCCAGAACTGGAGAGAAATGCTAAGGAAAGTTGGGGGTGGGGTTTTGTAAGCTGTTACAAAGAACAAAACCATGTGTTCTAAGCAGCTGCGTGCTGAGTCTGGCACTGGGATAGGGTTTTGCATACTTTCAGTTAATTCCTTACAAGGGTATTTTCACCAGCTCGCCCCATTCTATAGATGAGGAGACCAAGTCTGTCTCATTCCAGAACTTTTCACCCTTAATTACAGTGCAGACTAGTCTTGGGATGTGTGGCTGGGCCAAAAAGAATGTAAAACTCAAACCCTGGAGGAAGAGCCATGCATGGTTCTGGGATGAAGGGAGGCTGGAGTCTAGCCAGGAGAAGTTACGGTGAGGTCTAGCCAGCCACGCTAGAGGCCCCTCCACACAGGTCTCTGCCTCCTGTTCCCCTCCGTCTTCCAACACAAGGTTTCCTAGGGACAGGACTATGTCGGTCAGTCTGGGGTCCTTCCCTAGCACTGCTGACAGGGCTAAACCAGAACCCTAGAAGCTGAGGGGCCAGGGTATGTGTGAGTGAGGTGGGGATGGAGAGTGTGGAGGGGCCAGCTCCTCGGGTTTCAGTAGCAAGAGCTTCGGGTGTCTGGTGGGTTAAAAATATAGAGGCCCCAACTCAGGGTCATTTGATACCAGTGGCTGAGGCTTGTTAAGTCCAAAGGCCTGAAGTCTGGGGCTTAGAGGGAAGGAGATTGGATAGAAAGTGGAGAGCAGTGCATCAGAGAGAGAAGGGTAGGGAGATGGGGGTGTGGGGCGAGGAGGGTGCAGGTGCTGGAAGGCGTGACGGGAAAGCCTGAGATGGCAAGAAAAGGGAGCAGGAAGATGACAAGGTCTGGCTCTGGGGAGGGTCACTGGACTGCCACCCACTGTGAGATGACAGAGCAGGCCCAAGTCACCAGTTAGTCCATCTCACCCCGGCAGAAGATCAGATTTATGCTAGCATATTTTAATGTCTGTGCCCAGTATCCGCCCCTCCCCCTCCCCAGAGTGCAGAAGAAGTGAGAAATCAGGATTGGCGACTTCTAAGTCACCCAGGGCGAGGTGGCGCCCCCACCTCTCCCAGCTGTCTTCATGCTGGTGAGGGGCCTTGGGGCATATTGTCAATGTCTAGGAGATGAGGTTTCGTGGTTTCTCCAAGCGTTAGATCTGCCTCTGGCTTTCCCTGTGACCTTGAGGAGGGGGAGGGTCCTGCCATATTGCTGACATGGTCTGTGATCTTCCTTGCTCCGTGGTGTGGACCCCACACTGCAAAGAGTGTGCAATAGTTATTCCTCGGATGGTCTTATCTGGAAAAAAAAATAGTTACTGTCTCTCCAGAACCAGAGATGGCTTAGGGTGACAGAGGTGGGAAGTGGTGCCTCTCTGTGGTCCCCCTTCCTGCTTCCAATTACCGAAAGGGTTGTGAAGAGGACCCTTCTTTAAAGACCCAGAGTTGAGATCATTGATTCTTCTCTCATGTCCACTCTTGGATCCAAGAGGTTAGAGTTTCTAATCTACCTGGGACCTCAGGTGCACAGAATTCATCAGTTATGTGTCCCATGGCAAGGGGGCCCACCTCTTTGTGGTTTTCCAGAGCTTTTCATAGTGTTTCTATCTAATTGATTTTTCCAAAAGGCTAAGATGAATAATTAGTTATTCCCTCTCCTGGGAATTCCACGAGGCCTGGAGAAGCCTCCCTCTCACTGGACTTCAGGGTTGGTTCTAGAACGTGGAGCTCATAGGATCAGGACAGCAGGCAAAATCTGCAGGTAGTGGTCAGATGACTTTCCCCAGAGCCACACTCCTCCCGTCTGGACCTTCTGGGTAGAGGACCCCCAAACCCACATCTCTACAGCATGGGATCTGGGCCAGCGGGTCTCACCCCACCCCTGTCCTTCCCTTGCATTCCCGAGGCAAGAGTGTTGAGTGAAGGAAAGGAAACTGGCTGGAGCTGAGCCAGGAGCCGAGTATTGGACGCAGCCCTGTCTCACTCAGAGTGACCTCATCCCTGGTCCTGGCACTGTGAAGGCTCCTGTGTGGGGTCTCTTGTCTTGCAGTCTGGTTGGCTGCACTTGTATTGCTCTCCTCCTTGCACAAGATCAAAGAATATTCTTACCCTAGAGGGAACCCCCAAGGTCCTAGGTCTTCGAGCCCATACTCTGGTTGTCCCCTTCTTTCCTCAATTATCAGTTTAACCTCTATCTCAGAATGCCCCCCTCTCACCCATTTCCTTCTCTGTCATTACACTTGCCCTACCTTCCCCTCTCCCTAATTACCTCCATGCCTCCCCTCCTCCAGCCCCAGCTTCATTTACGTCCGACTCATCTGCTCATATTTTTAGCTCTGCCATCTCTCTCCCTTCTCCTTTCTTAATATGGCGATGAGCTCTGGGGCCAGCTTGGGGCCAGGGGCTAAGGAGCCCTGGGCCCTGGGGGAGGGGAGCAAAGCAGCCGCTGGGAGCCTGGGAGCGAGGTGTGGAGGACTCAGGCCCTCACGGAGCTGCCCTGGCCTCAGAAGGTTATCCTTCTCTCCTGCCAACCATGGGGACATATTTAGACAGGACCAGGTGGGGGCTGAGAGGTGCCAATTTCAGGGGCAGCTCCGGTTCCCTCCCCGCCCCTTGCTCCTATTCCTCCTCCTGACCCTTTTTCTCTTGGCTCTGTCGGCAGTTTGTCCAGGACCCAGCAGTGTCCTCTGTCCACTGCTCTGGGCCATTCCCCACCCCACCCCCACCTTGAGCCCCTCACTTCAGGATTCAGGACCCAGAGGCCCCTCCCCACCCGAGCTAACCTCCTTCTGGACCAGGAGAGCTGACCCAGAGCCCACTACCTCCATGAGCTCAACAGACAGAATGGGGGCCAGAGCGGTGCCCCGGCTGCGGCTGGCGCTGCTGCTACTGCTGGTGCTAGGGACGCCCCAGTCAGGGGTGCAGGGGGAGGATGGGCTGGACTTCCCCGAATATGATGGTGTGGACCGTGTGGTCAATGTCAACGCCAAGAACTACAAAAATGTGTTCAAGAAGTATGAGGTGCTGGCGCTGCTCTACCATGAGCCCCCCGAAGATGACAAGGCCTCCCAAAGGCAGTTTGAGATGGAGGAGCTTATTCTGGAGGTGAGTGTGGGGCTCAGAGAGCACCCTCAGGCCCTCCCTGCATAGCCCCATAGGTCTGTGGGGTGGGGGTGGGGGGGCAGAGCTGCAGGATCCATTCTGACCAGAAGGACAGAGTGGCATGTGCATGTGGCCTTACCCAAATGACAGTAAAGACGTGGGAACCCCAAAGTACCACCAACAGGTAGGCACCTCTGTGTGTGCACCTCTGTGTGTTCACGTGTGTGTGTGTGTGTGTGTGTGTGTATGTGTGTGTGTGACAGGGATGTGTGTTGCAAGGGGATCTCTCCTCCAAACTATGGGAGCCTTGAGGTACAAGGCCTGGCTAGTGCCTGGATGTCCTTCAGGGACAAAAATGGAAAGGAGGCACTAGGAAGTCTGGGGAGAAGTCCATTGTGATGTATGGTGCTCCTCCACCCCACCCCAAAGATCTACTACTCTTGGAGCCAGGACATGCCCCCTCTTCATACACATTAGGGACTGCACCCCAAAGCCACCCAAAGTGAGTATCAATGCTAACAGCATTGATCTTCTTTGTGTGCCACTGAACAGCTAAATGCTTAAATATCTCCTAGATATCACCATGCCTCCCAGTGCCCTCCCCCTCCCCCACGCTCATTACCCATCAGCCCCTCCTGGACAAAGCTGAAGCAAGCTGGATGCCCACACTGGAAAATTCTTGCGGTTGACGGAAGCTCTGGAATGCCTTTCTCATCTTCTCTTTGTGGGAAGACTCTCCTTCCCTCCCCCACCCAAACTGACTTCATGCTCAAAGGGGAGACAGGTATTATAAAGAGAAGTTCAGAAATAGTGGAGAGCCATATTCCTACACCCCTGCTGAGGCCTGGATGTGTTTGAGTGTGTCTGCCTCTAGGCTTCTGCGTCCCTTCTCCAGCCTGGTGACACAAAGGCCTACACCACCCAGAGCCTGGAACATTCGGGGCAACAACAGGGCTCACCTTTCTGGGTGTCCCAGCTTCCTGCTGGAAGCGGGAACTGTTTTCCGATTAATGAGCTGGATATTTTTATCCTAGTGCTCCATGTCTGGGACCATCCACCTACTAACCATTCCCCTCCTTTTGCCCTGTGAATCACAGCATAGAAGCCACACCCACGGCAGAGTGAATTAGAGTTGAGGCTGAGCTAGATGTCTAGGGAGGCAGGGACCTAGGGGTGTGACTGCCATAGCCTAAGGACTGGCGAAGTAGAAAGCGCAAGGAGAGTTTTGTCCAGGTTACCTCTCCTTTCTGGGAGAAGTGCGGACAGAGTGGTTAACACAAGGAAACTTCCCCCGCAGCAATCTGGCTTCCCCTACCCCTCAGTGCATGATTAGACCCCCCCAAGTGTCTGCTGTCCCCTCAGCCTCCTGCCCACCACTGCTCTTCCCAGTGGGTATCACTCTGGAGAATACAAGGGCTGGAGACTGTCACCCCCTCCTGAGTATGGCCTTGATCAGGCAGCTGCCTCAGTCTGAAGCGTGACCATGTAATACTCAAAATAATAACCACATTGTAAACAAGCAGTAAATGTTCAAGAATTAAAATTTAACTAAAGGTGGAGCTGTAGGAAAATTGGGAACATTCTGGATCCTAGCGTAGGATCAAGGAGTCCTGGTGGTGTATGACCCTATGAGTTGTGCTGCTAACTGAAAGGTGAGAAGTTCAAATCCATCATTATCTGAAAAGAAAAGATAGGTAGTCTCTTCTCAGGATGATTTCAGCCTGGCAAACCCATGGAGGGTCGCCATGATTAAGAACTAACTCAATGGCTGTGGAGTAGGGTTTTTGTGGTTTGTTTGATTTTTTTATTTTTGGCGCAAATTCAGGATTGACTGTAATAGTATCTGCATCCACTTAACTCACCTTTTAAGATGGGGTGGAGAACAGGGTTAGTTCAAATTCTAGAGGCTAATTTTAACCCCAACCTCTCTCCAGTTAGCCGCCCAGGTACTAGAAGACAAAGGTGTTGGTTTTGGGCTGGTGGACTCTGAGAAGGATGCTGCTGTGGCTAAGAAACTCGGTAAGGAGGTGGGAGAGGCAGGAAGGGGAAAGTAGTGTGTTGCGGGGAGGGGGGGGCAAACAGGGAGGATAGGGGTAGCGTGGATGGCTGCGGGGCAGCCTGTGGGAACTGCAGAGCTTCGGGAAGTCCACCTATTTTGAAAGGCAGGAAATCAGAAACTGAAACTGAGAGGGTTATGGTTAGGACTCCTAACCTCTCCTTGTTCTTTACACTCGTGAGAAAATCTCAGAGGGGGTGAAATTGACCGGCTTTTAAATGGGTAAACAGGTCTTATCCTGGAGAGGAGGCGCGAGGATACCCCAGGCAGGGCTGCAGAGGGCTCTCGCCACCCCTCCCCCTCCAGGGTTGAGGCTTACAGCGCCCGGCCACCAGGGGGCAGCACAGGCTTGAGCCTGGACTCCAGCTGTGGCTGGGGAAAGGGAGTGGTCAGCAGTAATGAAGTCATCTCATCAGTAATAACCGGTTGCTGTCAAATCCCTTCCGACTCATGGCAACAATAATAGCATAGAGTTAAAGGACTGGACTGGGAATTTGCCACTTGAGTTCTCAGCTGCTTAATCTGTAGTTATGTAAGACAGGGAAAAGAAGAAATACTAGTGGACTCTCTGCCTCAAGATTCCCCGTGAGACTAGCATGGGGGTAAATCCAAGGGGCTTCGGCAACAGGGGTGTAGGAACCAAGGTTGCAAGAGAGGTGAATGGAGCCAGGCAAGGGGGAAAGTAGAGGACGAGGGCTTGAGTTGGATCATTGAATGAGGAGCAGTGCAGGATTTGGACCCTGGGATCTGGGAGCAGGATGGAATCATGGCTCCCTTCTGGTTCAATCCACAGGATTAACTGAAGAGGACAGCGTTTATGTGTTCAAGGGAGATGAAGTCATTGAGTATGATGGCGAGTTTTCTGCTGACACTTTGGTGGAGTTTCTACTTGATGTGAGAATTCCCACCACCTGATGTCTTGCTTTGACTTTCCACCTGTCCCTACATATACACACACACCCCAACACTCTGCCCTCCTGTGGTTCTACAACCTTCTCCCTAAACGCTTCTCTCTAGTTCTCCAAATAATGACAGAAACTCACTCTCTTCTTTCAATATCTCTGCTATTCCAGGTCCTAGAAGACCCCGTGGAGTTGATTGAGGGTGAACGGGAGCTGCAGGCGTTTGAGAATATAGAGGATGAGATCAAACTCATCGGCTACTTCAAAAGCAAAGACTCAGAGCGTGGGTAACCCTCAAGCTCCTCTGTTTCCCTGCCTCGGCCCCCTATTTCGTTTGTCCTTACCCCTCTTTCCTCCACTATTGTCTTAGCAGTGCTTTCTCCCACTTCCTCCTCCTACCCTGGTCACTTTCATCAATTGTTCACCTCCTCTTGCATGCTGGATATTTCCCAGACACACACCGCAACATCCCATCTTCCCCCTTCTGTAGCCCCACTATATTTCACCCACTTTCAGTCTATGGGGGTTGGAGGGTCTCAGGATGAACTTCTCTTCACCTTCAATCCTAAGGCTTCTTATCCCTCAGTTCGGTTAAAGACATGAAGAGACAGGTGGGGGATGGGGGCTGACTCCTTGGCAGGCCCTGGCTCCCCAGAGACTGACTCTTGTGTCCTCTCTCAGATTTCAAAGCCTATGAAGATGCAGCCGAGGAGTTTCATCCCTACATCCCCTTCTTCGCCACCTTCGACAGCAAGGTGCTCCATCTATGACTGTGTGGTGCCTCCCTCACTGCCCTGTGTTGCCCTCCATCCTCCTCTCCCAGAATTGAATGAGAACCTGCACACACCAACACCTCTATAAGTTCCCCAGGCCTTTTCTGCCCCCTGGACTTTAGAGCTGAGGGGGGCTTGAGGTCACCTGATCCACCTTTCTCATGTTGAACCATAGCCCAGAGAAATTAAGAACCTCGCCCAATTCCACAGCAGCCCATGCAGGACTAAGACCCAGTTCCCTCACTCCATTCCTAGAAGGTCTTCTTCCATAAATACTGATTCTCAATATGCTCCCCTACCCTCCCCCCCTCCCCACTTTACTGTCCCCTACCCCTGCCCTACAAAGGTGGCAAAGAAGCTGACCCTGAAGATGAACGAGATTGATTTCTACGAGGCCTTCATGGATGAGCCGGTGACCATCCCGGACAAACCCAACAGTGAAGAGGAGATTGTCACCTTCGTGGAGGAGCACAGGAGGTGGGCCTCGGGGACACTCCTTTGAGCAGGGTGTGTTCCTTCTGGCATTAAAACGCCCTTCTGTGACATGGGCCGAGGGACTTTCAGGCCACCAGACAGCTGATCCCACCCGGTGATAAGTGTACCTCTGAGGAGTAGTGCTCCCTGACACTGGTAATTTTGCAGGAATACTCTGCAGCCTAGCATTTAGCCACTAACCATACACAGAGGCAGTGCTCTTTAAATGTGCATCCTTCACTGTGAGGTGCTGGTTCACACAATCTAAGTCAGCACGTGAGAACTGTCTATTATTATATTTAATCTTTCTAACAACCTCAGTTAAAGAAGCTCTACAGCTGTGTCAAAACTAGGATTCCAACCCAGATTTGTCCCATGTTAGTCCTAACATATTACCCTACACAACTGATTCTCAGTGGTGTGAAGGGGAGGGAGGCTTTTACCCTGGGGGGGGGCATTTGGCAATCAAATGTTTAGACCTGTGTTTTGGTCGGGAGGGTGTCACTGGCATCTAGAGGGTAGAGGCCAGGGATGCTGTTAAACATTCTTCAGCTCAGGACAGCTCCCCGCAACAAAGAATTCTCAAGCTCAAAATGTCTGTAATGAGTGCCAAGGCTGAGGAACAGTTCTATAGATACAAAGTTATTTTCTCTTCCTTTACAGTACTCCACAACTGGACATGCCCATTCTCCAGTATAAATGCTGCTTACACACATTTTCTCCCTCTGGGCTACAGTTCCCTTGTTTGGCTTCTTCAGCTCTCAGTACACAGTATCTAGTATGGTGCTTAGAATATAGAAGGCACTCATTTTTATTGAATGAGTCACAGAATAAACAAATCACTAAATACTCATATGGCCAGTTCTCTCTCACCTTTCTCCCAAAAGTCTCTCTTCCAGGCCTCTTTGCTCAATTTCGCCTCTCCCACCTGCTTTCACTATGCAATGATCTGGGCCTAGTGCCCAGAGCTTAGATTTTTGTCAGTTGGCTTTGTTCTGAACCACAAGCTGTCTGTGCCCTGGGCATGACCCAGAAGCAGCCTCTGTTTATGGGGACTCTCTGGAGGGGCTGTCCTTCTCACCCACTGAGTTGGTTTTTTGTCAGGTGAGTTATAGTGACTTCATGTGACAAATAACTGACCCATAGGGCATTCTTGACTGTAGTGCTCACAGACCTAGGTCACCAGGTCTTTTTCCTATAAAAAGCCACTGGGTATATTCAAGCCACTAACCTTTCAGTTTGCAGTCAAGTAATTAACTATTTGCACACCAGGGCTTCTGCCTACTGAATAGTAATCTGCTGTTTATTCTAGATCAACCCTGAGGAAATTGAAGCCGGAGAGTATGTATGAAACCTGGGTGAGTGTCTCTGGTCAGGCCTACGCCCTCAGGGGAGCATGGGATGCTGAAGGCTCAAGTCCTAGAAACACTTCAGCCTCTGGTCTTCATACCCCGCTTGTAGAAAAGAGAGTGACCTGCAAAAGCTGAAGGTTTTCTATTCTGAAGACCATATCAGAAACTGGGAGGCAGACATAAATGGATGAAGATGATGAAGGAAAAAGAGCCCCAAGCTTTGGGCGATAGAGTTCCACGGGGTGGGGAGAGCTCTGGAATGGAAAGGGGTAATGTGCATTAGAAAAGGGTCACCACACACACACACACACAACCAGAAGCTGGACTGCCACAAAATTCAGGTTTAAGGAAGGTCTACGATCCGTCTAAACTCCAGCTTCGGGGACTAGAGCTGACTCTCATTCCCTACTCCCCCAACAGGAGGATGATATGGATGGAATCCACATTGTAGCCTTTGCAGAGGAAGCTGATCCTGGTGAGGGAAGAATACTGGATAGGATTGGGGAGGAAGGCAGTAGTAGTGGGAGAGAGATGGGTGTGCTTCCTGACTCAGAACTGCAAGCAACTGGGGGCTGGAGATGGGGAATTGCGGGAAGCACAGGAAGAAATGTAGACCCTTGTTTTCCCTGCGCCTCATTCCTCTCTGCCTCTCCTCACACTTCTCATTTGTTTCCTTCTCAAGATGGCTACGAGTTTTTAGAGACTCTCAAATCTGTGGCTCAAGATAACACGGAAAACCCTGATCTTAGCATCATCTGGATTGACCCTGACGACTTCCCTCTGGTGAGAGGCTAACAACCTGTTCACTTGCTTGGTGGGGGTTGAGGTGCATCCTGAGAGTCTATTTCAGAACCCCTACCCTTAGGGGACAGAGTGTGAAACTTCACCAACCGTTCTTTGGCATGTTGTTAGGAGGGGCTAGTCCTTGGAAAAAGACATCATGCTCATAGAAACTGGAGGGTCTGCAAAGGTGGAGTAGACCTTCAATGAGGTGGATTGACACTGTGACTGTAACAATGGGCTCTAGTGTAGCAGAGTTGATGAAGATGGCACAGGTTAGGGCAGGGTTCAGATCTGTTTGTAGGGTCACCATGAGTCATACTCATACAACTCGATGATACCTGGTAACAACATCCTCATCTCCAATCTGGTAGCCCCTGGGAGGTTTTCCCTGTTACACATGTTCAAGGGCGCTGTGAGCACTGACTTGTCCTGGTTTGAAGAAAACAGAAGGAAAGGGAGCTGTTTGAGACAAAACACATGAAGAGCAGAGCCTTCATGTAAGCAGGTACTTCATGTAACCAGGGCTGACTTCTTATAGAGAAAACTATAGTTCCAGTGAGTAGATGCTCATGTCAGTTCCGTAATCCTCATCGAAGATGCCATGTCTAGAGGATGGTTTCATCCCCAGCTGAATCCTCAACACTTCGCATTCGTTGTGGAAGAAGCAACTTAATGATAAACAGAAATGTAAGGAAGATGAACCATCACTAGAGAGAACTACATTATTTTAGAGGTGTAGAAGGTGAGGGCTGGGAGAATTGGCTTACTCATGACACAAAGTCAGTTCGTAGCAGATCCAGCATCTGAACAGGACTTCCTAGTTCATGTTCCTGGGGAAAGAAGAGTCAGTGTCCCCTCTCGATACTTTCCCTTTGGAATAGTCTTTCACTGCTCAACTCTGCCCTTTCCCTTCAGGACGGACAGTCAGACTCACTCCCATTCATAAAGGGACTCTGGGCTGACCCTCACACCTCGTCCTGGACTTAAGTATGCTCCTAGACTCCATTAAGGTGCCATATTTGGGTCTCTTTACAGTTGGTTCCATACTGGGAGAAGACATTTGACATCGATTTGTCAGCCCCACAAATAGGAGTTGTCAACGTTACTGACGTGAGTTCTCTATCCCTACTTCCCAACATAGCTAGCTCTTCTGTGCTTTGTTAAGATTTACTTCCCAACAAAAGCAGCCATTAATTATCTGAACACTCCTGTCTCCATCTGTTGGAACCTGTTGTTCAACCTTCAAGCTTCACTTCAAATTTCCTCACCACGAAGTCTTCCCGTGTCTCTGATTTGGAATCATGCTCTCCTTGGTGCTCCAGAGTATACTGGGATGTAAACTATGACTTTCCATATGGCTTTTTCATATGTGAGGTCACACTGTCCCAGTAGATTTTTGAGCTCCTTGAGGACAGAAATCTCATGTAGTAGGTGCTTCAAAAGTGTTCATTGACATAAATCTTTTTCACATAGTAGGTGCTTCCAAGTATTTATTGAGTTGAATAAGCCACAATCTTTGCTTTCCATCTTAGAGAGGCAGACACAGATTCTATTTACTATAAGGTCATATCTGACCAAGTATACATAATAAAGGTGCAAATAGAATGCTAGGAAAACACAGAGGAAGGAAAAATGCTTTCTGCTTCAGAGAACCAGAGAAGAGCTTAAGGGGAATGGACTTGGACAGGTAACAATTTAAAAAGAGTTACTGCTCCATGGGAGAAAGATCGACACTCTCCTCCCCTGTGACTTACTGCTTCTGAAAACCCACCAGAGGGTCAGCTATGAGGTGGTTCTAACTCCATGGTACACCACAACATTGTTGTGGTTGTTGTTTATTTCTATCAAGTCACAACAACATTACTTACAAATTAAACTTGAACAATGAAAATGAGTATCAGGTTCAGGAAATGGCAAACAATTTTGTGTAGTTTCAGAGTCTGAGAGATCACTGGACAAGTAGGTCATGGAAAGCCTTGAATTCTGAACAGTAGCCCTATAGGCCACAAAGAGTGGCCCATGGTTTTTGCATCAAGGTCATGATAGAAATCTGCTTTAGGAAACTATATGGCAAGAGCATAGGTGAAAACTTGGAAAAAAAGTCCATTTACCAATGCATTCCTTCTTTCCACTTCCACTGTCTTTATTCTAACTTAGACCTCTGCTTAGACAGGTTTCTTGGCCACTAACAGAATAAGGAAGATGATAAGTGATAGGATACAGGGGAAGGACACAACCCTATGATTGGGATGATAGGTGCAAAGACTGGAGCCAGGCTTAGCTTCTGGCCTCTGTCCATGCCCTCTCCCAGGCGGATAGCATATGGATGGAGATGGACAATGAGGAGGACCTGCCTTCAGCTGATGAACTGGAGGACTGGCTGGAGGATGTGCTGGAGGGTGAGATCAACACAGAGGATGATGATGATGATGACGACGACGATGATGACGATGATGACGATGATGATGATGACTAGTTGCTGTGGCAACCATCTTCTAGTCCCATCTGCTCTCCTTACGTTCCCTCCTGTTTTCCCTGTCCTTTCCTGAGCTCCGCCAGGGATACTAGTCCATTCTCTGTCATAGGACCCATTGGAGTCTGTATGCTGGTGCTGAGACCCTGGCCCCCCTCATCTGATGAGGAAAGGAGCCACTTTCCCCTAGATGTTAGCAAAGTCCTCTCATCTGGCTTCTGTTCCTCATCTCATCATTTACCAGCATCTGTTATTTGTTGTTTTTCCATCATTCTCTACACTCTTTCTCCAGATTCCCCTCTTGTCACATCTATAGGCACCCTTCTCTCCATTCCCTCCATTGATACAACCCTTCACCAGCTGTCTCAAACTCTCTCTCCTGGCTGTCTTATCCCTGACTGGGGAGGAAGGGAGGGTACTGAGTTTGGAGCTGTATCACACTAATCTCTTGTTAATGTATTTGGGTCAAATGAGAGGCCTCAATAAAGAGATCTGGGGCAGCATGAGCAAGTGTCTGTTGGAAGTCTCACCCCAGTGCATGAGGGAGGAGGCTGGGAGGGGAGCTGGGGCTTGGGTGTGAGTGCTTTGTTAGGAGTGGGCTAGGAGACTGTGATGGCAGGGAGCTGGGGCTCCCTCTGGGTAGTCAGAACAGAGAAGCTTGGCTTGTTTACCCATTTGAAGTCAATACATTCAATCTGAACACGAGGTGTTTGCCCAGCACCATTGGTAGGCTCTAGGAGAATGGAGTGCCAAGCTTGTCCCTGCTCAGTGTTGATCTGCCTCACTAGGAAGTCAAGACAAGCACACTAAACAAATGAAGAAAAATACAAAGCAGTATATAATTACGTGATTACGCACTGCTGCATAGCACCCTCCTTGCAGCTCTTACTTGAACTTCAAGACCGAACCCAAACTTCCTCGTTGAGGCCTTTCCAGAGCAGGCCCCTCCCCACAGCCCTCTCCTCTGAGTTCCCACTGCTCTCTCTAGAAGCCTCACATGAACACTCAGCACATTTTATGTCGTTCTTCATTTGCATGTGAGTCTGGGGAAGGCCAGGACACAGGCCTTTTCTGTGTGTCACAGGACCTGGCTCTCGGAAAGTTCCTAACCAATGTCTGCTAAAAGAAGAAACAAACGAAAGGACAGAAACACGCTCCTGCTCACTTTCCTCCGAGGTCAGAGTGAAACTGGATGATGTCATAAAGAAAGTGAGCCTTTTTTAGGCCTTAAATGAGGAGCGCAATTTGACTGGGGGAAGGGAGTCGGGGGAAGGACATTTATTTCATCTGGTGAAAATATCAGAACACAGGCAGCCTCATTTGGGGTACAAAAAGAAAACTAGATAGACAAGAAATTCAGGTGGTGAGAGTGAGGTTGAGTGGGCAAAGGGTCTGTCTTATGCAGGTATGTGAATTTAATCCTGGAAGTGGGAATAATGTGGGAGAAGGCATCTAATTTGGTACTGAAAGGTAGGATGAAGAAATGGAAGAGACATAATGGGATACTGGAGTACCCAACTCTTACAGAGACTGTTGTAATGATCAAAGTGAAGGTGACAGAATACAGATGTATTCTGCCAAGAGAATGGAGAGAAGAGATTAGGCTATGTACGTTGGGAATTCCACAGGCCTGGAACCTGCTGGGCTTCCTGGCAGGAAAGACCCACATTCTCTTCAGGACAGGCTAAGACTGGTGTAAAGAGGGTAAGGTGGGAACCCAGCCACTAAGATCAGCCCAAACCCACTGCCATTGAATTGGTTCCTCCTCAAAGGGACCTTCTAGGACTGAGTAGTATTGTTCTATACAGTTACAAAGTCAAGGCTGTGAATCTATGGAAGGAGATTGCTTCTTTTTTTCCCACAGAGTAGTTGGTGGGTTTGAACTGCCAATCTTAAGCTTTTCAATCACTGTGCAACCAGGGCTTCTAAGCAAAGCCACAAATAGTACACCTCATACTTTACATGGATTGGGTGTAAGGGAATTACTTGGAGACTTAGAGAAATTTTAAGTATGAGAAGGAAGAGACCTGAGATTAGAAAAGTTTTCATTTTTCACAAACAAATATAAGAAGTATTCCCAGAGAAGAGTAGAAACCGTATACTCATCCAATTTGCAACCATTTAATAAATGCTTAATAGCTACTATACAGATTAATGTTATCATAATATTGTGGAACTTACAGTTTAGCATGAGTCAGTGAAAAGCTCTGGATTAAACAATAGCTCTCATATTCTAAGCACAAGTCCTTGGGCTTTTTATTCCTAACCCTCAGAAGAATCCTATAAGGTAGACATTGTCATCCAGCCCCAGTTAACTGGTAAGGACACTGAGGCTTAATGGGATAGAAAGCCACTGAGGGAGAAGAGCCAAGAGGAAGCCCAAATCTCCTGCCCTCGTTGCCTCTGGAAAACCTGATACTCTCATTGAGAAACTACAGGACCACAGGTAAATTATTTAATAACTGAGTCCCAAAGATAAGTCAACAAAATATTTTTTTGGCACTCAACACAATTTGTTGTAAGGAGCAATTAAGATGGAAACAGAGGCAAATTATGAGGGTGTATTATTTTCAGAAGGCACTCTGAATTGTTGTGGTTAAATAATTTGGCTGCTAACCAAAAGACCAGTTGTTTGAACCTGTGACTCTTAGGGTGAGGTTAGGCAGACTTCCATAAAGATTTATAACTTCAGAAACCCGACGGGCAGGCAGTTCTACTCTGTCCTATAGGATTGCCCTAAGCCAGAATTGACTCAATGGCAGATTATTCCCAGAGAGCAGAGTGGAGGCACAATAAGGATGACACTGAGAGCAGGGCCTCATCAAGGGAATAATATAGACCCAAATGGAGGTACTTGAGGTCTCCTGGGTGGCTCAAATGCTCTGTGCTCTACTAGTAACCTAAATGTTAGCAGTTCAAACTACTTAGTGGTGTTACAGAGGAAAAATTTGCTGATCGGCTTCCCAAAAAAGTTGCTGTTTAGTTGCCATCCAGCCAATTTCAACCCTTAGGGATCTCATGTGACAGAGTAGAGCTATTTCACAGGAATGCTAGAGTTAGAGGTTCTCCTAACAGAAAGGTTGGCAGTTTGAACCCAGCATGCGCGCATTGGGACAAAGATCTAATAATCTACTTCTCCCGGAAAGACACAGGTTTGGGGCATTTTTTAAAAAAAGGGATTGCTGCCAGGGTGGAAGCAAAGTGAGGCTAGGCTGTCCCAGAAGTCACCCTGGGGCTACTTTTCTGACTAGGTTGACTTCTTTCTTCCCAGGACCCTGCCAATGTTGGCAAGACCTCCTAGGGCTGCAGATAAGGATGAAACAGATGCTTCCCCAACTCTTCCTTCCCTCTTTCAGCCTGGCTGAGATTGTGGGGAAGGAAAGTCCCCAGAGTGGAGAGGAAGTGAGAGTTGTCATGCTGGGCCTGGGCAGTGGGGCAGAGCTGGAAGACAGTGCTAAGTGTGGCTTTGCAGGTTGGTCTATATTTGCATGCTGAGCTCACTGCTTCTTTTCTCTCCAGAAAATAAAATTACATCATAGTGAGGAGAAGGCGAGAGGAAGGTTTCTTTGGGAGAGGTGAGAGGAACAGAAAAAGGATGCGCTGGTATTGCAAGAGTGAACTCTCAAGAACTGAGGAGTCAAGATCCATGGCCCTAGAATTAAGGGAAGGTGGTCCCCATGCTGCTTCTCATCCCACCCTCACCTACACAGCCCCCTAGCGGAGATAAGTCTGGACAGTCACCTACAACCACCACTTCTCCGACCCACAAGGAGGAGGCTACCAGGTGAGGAAAGAGATTTTCCCGGCAGCCAAGAGGACCCAGAGGCCAAAGACTTTCTTTAAATCCCTAATTTACTCTGCTCCTCACAAGATCTCCGCAACTATGGTCAGGGAAAAGTCAAAAGGACATCCCAGTGGGAAGATATTAAATCTGAAAAATGGATTTCCCAGCTGAGGAGGAAGCGCACCCCTCCCCCAGCCTGGGTCCCTGGCTCTGCGTCCAGAGAGTCCTCTAGAACCCCAGCCCCCGGCCCCCGCCCCCTCTAACTCTCCCCTTCCCCCTCCCCTCCCTGCCCCTCCCCGGCTCTGACATCACAGCCCGCCGGGTGGGGTGAGGCGGCGCTGGGCTCAGGCTCCAGCTCCGCGGGCGGAAGGGGCGGCGGCAGCGGCGGCACAAGCGACGGCGTGAGCCGAAGAGCAGGCTCCAGACGCTGGTCAAGAACCGGGGGACCCGGCAGTGTCTGCGCCCTTAGCGCCAAGCCCCGGAGGCGGTGAGAGGGGCGGGGAGGAGACGTGTTGCGGGGAAGGGGAAGATCTGAGGTCTAGTCTTGGAGGGGTGTAGCCTGGGACCAGAGGGCTAGTTTGGGAGCATGGGCCCCCGCCCAGGACAGGTTGGTCTTTGAGTCCGTGAGCCCAGAGTGTGGAGTAGTGCTGTAGGTGGCGTGGCCTTTACCGCCCATTCCACGCTCAACAGCAGTCGGGGAGCCGGAGCCGGGCCTGGGGTGAGGATGGAGCCTGCTTCCCGCCCAGCCGGCTCACCCGGGCCAACTCCCGCCCCTCCTTCCTCCCGTCTGGCTTTGGACTGGCCTTCGCTGGCCTGGAGCTCCCCGGCCCCGCCTCGGTCCCCGGCAGCATCTCCTGTTCCCAGGGTTCCAGAGCAGCCCTAGTGCGATGTACCTTCCTCCCCAGCGCGCAGCACCTGGGCGAGGGGTTGGAGAGGCGAAAGCGTGACCCGAGACGAGGAAGAGCTGGGGGAGGAGAGAAGTTGCTAACAGAAAAGCCATAATTAATTTCGTATAATCCATGTCAGAATTGACAGGGACACACACACACCCCTAGAAGTGACACGCCAGCACACACAGTGACACACACCCATGTGACTCTTCAACAGAATGTCTTGCACCGACCTAATCACAAACGTCCATGCAGCTAAGCCCCCATTGCTTCCCATGTGGGAGTCTCCTGGACTGTGGGCTCCAAGAACACCAGTCTGATAGGACAACTGAGTGGACAGAAGGGCCACTGTCCTCAAGTCCACCCGCCCTTCATCCCCTCCCCCCTTCTCCTGGGGCTCCAGATTGCTCTTCTTTTAAACAGAGGGGAAAGATGAGAGAAAATCCTCTGCTAAGCCCCTAACCCCTTCAAGAGTGGAAGGCAGGATTTTTTTTTAATTTTTTTTAAAGGCAGGAAGGATCTTTGAGGGTGAGCTTGGTGCCCTCTGGGTTCGGCTGAAGCTTAAGGTGTCAGGAATGGCTAGTTTCTGGGCATCAGAATGGACAGAGGAGGAGGGGGTGGAAGAAAGGAAGAGGGAGAAAAGGAAAGAATGAGTATGAGTCAGCCAGGGATGGAGCCCAAGTCGGAGAGAGAGAATGAGGGGAATGTGTGTGAGAGGAAGACAGACATCAACAGAGGGACAGAGAGAGAGAACCAAGGAGAGGGAGAAAGTGAGACAGTGATGGTCAGAAGAGTGGGAAGATGCTAGAAATTAAGGATGAAAGCAAGGTAGTGAGACCATAGGGAATCAAGAGAAACATGCCTTGTAAGTGTGTCTTGTTTCTCAATGTGTCTGGCCCCTAGGCTGTCAGAGCAGTAATCGCTTTAATTGCTTTTCCCTTTGTGGTTACTCTGTTGGGGAAATTGCCAGCAATGCCCTAGGCCGCCAGCTTTGGCTTCCCCCTTTCCTCAGTTCCTGGATACCAGTGCCCATCATGTGTGCATGTGCTGTCATACATGGTCAGTGACACTGTCATATTACCCCTCCTCTCATCCCCTGGATTCTCATGTACAATATTAGACATCTTCCACCCACCACCTTGCAATCACCTACTGGATTTTCCAACCCCTTCCCATCAAATTCCATCTTCTTGCAACCACAGTGTTCATCCACTTCTAAGAGTACCTCTGGATATTCAGATGAGCACAGTGAATTTTAAGACTCCAGGACTTCCCTAGTTGGGATAGGTGGGTTGGAAAAGCTGGAAGGTAAACGAGGTAAAGAAAGACTTGAGACTAGACAAAAAGAAGAAATGAATAGGGTAGAGACAAAAGAGTTGGGAGAGAAACAAGGTCAGGGAAGATAACCAGATAAGCCAGAGATGAGTTCGGGAGAGCGACAGTCCCCAGCCCTTAGCATACTGCTATCAGAAAGATCTTGCCTCCCCTGCCCCATCCAGTGCCAGGTCTCCTTGTGCCCCATTCTAAGCCTGGCCTTTTCTTATACTAGAATTGAAAGCTCAGACTCTTTCAATGACCAGGTGACCCACCGTATTATTTGGATTGAATATTTCGGGGCTTAGGTATGTTATCACTCCTCATTCCCAAGGTGATCTGGAGCTTCAGTGCCCTCTTCTTCATTAAAAGACTAAAAATCACCCCACCCCCAAGCTGAAGAGAAGCTAAAGTCAGTTGAATATGACATTAACAAAAAATATTACAGATGAAGCACAGGACTGCTAGAATGTGGAGGCTAAATAGAATTTAAAATAGGATTGTTGAAACCCTACTTCTCACTTTTTGTACTATATTACTACACCCTCCCACCATCCCCCTTTACCTCCAAGTAGTAAAAGAACAAAACAGGCAGACCAAGGAGCCTGGAAGCTGCCCCTCCCCTCAGCCTTAGACAGCTGCAGCAGATGTAGGGGAGGGAGAGGAGCATTTCCTAATCCTAGGCTTTCATTTACTGGCGATTTGGAACTCAGGACTAAGTAAAGGGAACTTTTCAAGGAGCAGCCAGGGGAACATGTGCACTTCTGTAGGCCTAGGCTTTAAAAAGGGTACCTGATGATTTGGGGCCCATGTGTTAAGTTCAAGAGCTAATAGAAAGGTTGGAGAAAAAGAGCCAGAGAATAAAGGTTGGAGCTTAGAACTCACCTGGTAGTTCTTGGGGAGAAAGACTCAGTGGTCTACTTCTGTAAAGATTACGGCCAGCAAAACCCCATGGAGAGTTCTACCCTGTCACATCAAGTCCTTATGAGTCCAAGTAGATTTGATGATAACTAACAACTCATTCTCCCAGGGAACCTTAGATACTGCTGTCTCCTTAGATACAACCCACAACATCTCTCTGGGGGCTGGTTTGCTCAATGAACAAAAAAGGCTAAAGTAAAAAAATTAGTTGTTTCCCACTTTAGGGAGCTCTGGTTGCTTTGTGGTAAGGAGGTATATTGGCAACCCAAAGGCATGTGGTTCAAATCCACCAGCTGCTCTGAGGAAGATTATGCAGTCACCTCCTGTATGATTTACTGCCTCTGAATAGCTACCAGAGGGTCATCTGTGTCAGTTCTGAATGGCTGGTACATAACACATACACTTTGTGAGGGAGGTATGACTCTCAGGGAGGTGGGCCTGATCCACTGAGGAGAGGATAAATGTGTACACTTAGGCACCTCATTCTTCACTATGAGAACCATCCTGGTAGAAGACACTTTAGAGAGGGTACTATCCCAGCAATTCTTAACAGCCTGCCTTAAGTAGATGTAAAAATGCAGCATACCTCTCAGAGCACAATGCCATCTCTTCCACAGGTGACTACCCTATTTTGCTAGGCTTTTCAAGGTGGCCGCAGATCTTGCCTCTTTCTCCCGGTGCCCACGGAGCACCTGCCAAACCCCATTACCATCCATTAAGCTCCCTCCCTGAAAGGTCACTATGTAATAATAGTCCTTGCTCATACTCCCTCTACCCAGCATCTTCAGTTGGCCAGGCCTTTGTCAGGGTTCTGCCTAGGGTCAGCTTGGAAGAGAGGAAGGAAGGTGTGAGGAAATGGTGAGCAGAACAGAGAATGAGCTGGGAGGGAAGAGGACTGACTTCCGGAGCCTTGGCTCTGGTTCCTGCCCGGGTATCCTGTCCCAAGAATGGCCTCCGCCCAGGCAGCTTGCTCTCCAGAGATCTGTGTTTTAGAGCCAGGAGGGCAGGAGACTTCTTCATAGGCCCTTAGAAATTCTGAATCACTGTGAAGGAGGTGACATGGAGGGTAAAGGAGCCAAGCTTCTGTCAAGTCCTATTATGGCCATCCCATCTCATGGGCACTCATTGAGCAGTGAGCTCTGAGAGCAGTGTAGAGATTCCATCTCCTTACACTGTAGACATTACCACCCAAATCTCTTGCTCCTTGTCTCTGCTACCACATCCGGGTTTTGGCAAAAGATTTCTCCAGGGAATAAACCACCAGGCCGGGCTTTCCTTGCTCTGTCTAGAGCCTCTGCCTCCCCCTCCATTCTGTCTCTTACCAGTACCCCCTCTCCTCCCCATCCAGTGGTGTTATTGTCCTAAGGACTAAGCAACCCGGGTGGGGGAGCACCCAGACCTGAGGTTGCCATGGTAACCACTGAGCTGAGGCCGAAACCTCATCACGCACTCTTGTGTGCTGCTCCCTGGCAGGCCCTCTCTCTCCCAAGTTCTTACCCCCTCCTCCCCAAAATTATCATTTACAGCCACTTTCTTTTTCCCAGTCTCAGCTCTTCATTCTGTAAGCACCTCAGTCTCCCTTTTCTCTGGATGTAAGCCTATAGTTCTATACCTTCTTATGATCAGACACACACACACACACACCCACATATGCTCACAGCCAGATCCACCCACCACCACTTACCTAGTGCTGGCATGTACACATCCGTTTTTCACTAGCACATCCAAACACACCCACACACACACACCCCCTGCCTCTTCCACATATCTACACCCCATCTTCAGTGATCAGCATTCACCCAAAGAGCAGCGGCTCACTTTTCTCCCCTGCCATGTTCTCACCTCCACTACTCCTAGGTGTCTTCATGCATTTCACTCAAAACTCCTACCCATTACCCCCTAGCCCACCAAACTCCAGTTTTGGATTTTAAATCCTAACTCCTCCTACTGTCACCTACTCTACTCATTCACACACCTCCGCCCCGCACACACATATTCCTCCCAGAGTTTGGCTTTTATTTACAAATTGTATTTTCACTGGAAAACAGGCAAGATAACCCTAAATTCTATCCCCTTTTCCAGCTGAGGCTAGCCCTGGCTCTCCTTTACCGGAGCAGCAGCTTGTTTCCTTCCTAAGTTGCCTTTTTTCTAGCTCTTCTATCCATTTCTAGACCCTCTTCCCATCATCCCTTCTCCCCTTTTCTGTCCTAGGATTATCAGTGGAAGGTGGGGGGTTGGGACCAAAGCCTGCTGCTGTGACCTAGATTTCAAGGCAGAAATGGTTCCTGGTGCTGACAGTCAGAGAGCATTGTTCCTGGTCCAGCCTGGGAGGGCCACCGCTGGGCCCTTCTGTCTGGTTGCACCTGGGTGTACAAATGTGTGTGCCTATTTCTTGCTGTGGGGCTGTGCGGCCCTGCTGTCTGGCTCATTGTGTGTGTGTGTCACGGCGCTTGCCACCAAAGGCTTGTTTGTTCCAGTCCAAGTAGGAGGCTGGGAATGGAGATTTGTGTGTCTGGATCAGTGTGTAGTGACATGCACTTCTCTACCTGTTTCCCTGCACATAATTCAGAAATAAGGGTTACATTAACAAGCCTCCTTTTGCTATATGCTAAACTAAAAACTTGGGATGCTTTATGAGCAGCATAGGTCATACAGTTCCTTTCCACCTCTTTAGTGCTTATGTTTTGACATTGTTTTAAATGCTTTATTTACCAGATATAAAAGTAGTAGGATGGGAATGCCCTTCTTTTGAGCCGGCCACTAGAATTTATCAAATCCAGAAAGTGCACGGAGGTCTGCCTTTCCTCCTCCTCCTCATAGCTGCAGTTCCTGGCTTAGTGGAAGGGCCTGGACGTTCTCTCCCTTCTTTTCTAGGATTTTTTTAAAGAGGGATAGAGTAAGGACCTCAGTGAGATCTGGCCTTCTCCAGCCCACTGTGGGAGGCCATGCTGAAGGTAGTGCCAGCAGGGTGTTGATGCAGGAAGGGTGGTAGCCCCCTTCCTGCCAGATTCTCCCATGGCTGCATCCAGGCCCCCCTCCTCTTGCCACCCAGCCAGCCTGGGAACTGGGCAGGAGGCCAGAGCCAGTTGCTTGATATTCTTGGGCTTGGGGGCTGTAGGCACAGCACAAAGGCTAGGAGAGGACGGAGTAGTCATCAAGGGAGAAAATGGGCTGCTTAAGGGTGGGGGTGGTCCACCTCTTTGCCCCTCAAACTCAACTATGTGGCTGAGCGCAGAGGCCAGAGGGCTATTAGAACAAGTAACCAGGCATTCAAAAGGAATCATTTGTGAGATGGCATGAGGGACCCTTTTGCCTCTAGGGAAGGACAGAAGCTAGGGTAGCTGTGCTCCAACTACCTCTAGACCTTTCTGTTTAGCTTCTCAGTCACAGCAAACCTCTCCCTTGGTGTGGTTTGTTTTTTTTAAACAAGGGGAGGGGTTGCAGGTGGGTGGGGCAATTCTGGAGTTGGGGGTACTTGAAGGGTGAGAAAGTTGGAGCAGGTTGCCATGGTAACCACCTCCTCAGTTGCCAGGGTTACTGTTGGGGTGTAAAAAGGAGGTGTAACTTGTCCCTCTAGGCTCCACCGCCTGGCTCCTAGCTTCTGAGTTTCTTATCTTTCTCTTTTACTCCCCTAGGTCTTTCTCTAATCCTGGTCCTCCACACTCACCTTCTAGGCACATACCTGATAGGCTAAACAGGGTGTTGGTGTGCGAGTCAATGAACTAGAGCTTAGCCTCCTCTGTTTCCTTCCACCCTAGTCATGGCAGAATACGGGACCCTCCTTCAGGAACTGACCAACAACATCACCCTTGAAGATTTGGAGCAGCTGAAGTCAGCCTGCAAAGAGGACATCCCCAGCGAGAAAAGTGAGGAGATCACTACAGGCAGTGCCTGGTTTAGTTTCCTGGAGAACCACAACAAGCTGGACAAAGGTGAGGGGAGGGAAGACAGGGTCCTGCGATCTGCCTTGTGGGTTCAGTCCACTCAGCAGATTGAGAGAAGTTCAAAACTCCTATACACAAGAAGCACACTTCTCTGATGAAGTATTGCTGACAGCCTTTAAGGGTTCCATGGCACTTACCTTTAAAACTTTTTTCATTGTGCCTATTGGCAGTAAAAAAAAATTTACTCACATGCTATTATTACATATATAAAGGAACACAAAAATAGAAGTTAAAAGTGATCAAATTTAAAATGAAAAGGAAAACCCAAGTTTTGACATTTTCATGTCACTTTGAGACTACTGCCCTAGGTAGGAGTAACTTGTATGGCATAGAGGTTGCTAACCTCAAAGTCAGTGAATCCAACAATCTTCAGGAGAAAGAGGTAGTCTGCCCCTATAAAGATTTGTAGCATAGTTGTTCTTTGTCCTGTCAGTTACTTTAAATTAGAATCCACTTGAAAGCAGTGGGTGGATGGAAGATAAATGGATTAGCTCAGTCCCACCTATCTAGGTGTTTAGGGGAAGAATTCTTGTTTAAACTGATCCTAAAAGGCAAGTGGAAATTCAAAGGCAGGATCTAAAAAGGACACTAGGCAGAGGAACAAAAAGGTGGTGTTTAGTCTATGAGAAAAGCAAGGAGTCCCTCTTAGCAGGGCACAGGGTATATATAAAAGTGGCTATGAAGATAAGCTATGGTGGGGAAGGACTTGAGTTATAGGGTATGTAGTTTATACTAATGTGATAGATGTTGTGTGATCTTGGGCTCTTCAGAAGTACTAATCGGTTTATAGTACACACAGGAGGAAGAATATGAAGGACACATCACAATTACAAGACTATTTTAATAAGTCAAAGGGGGAAAGTCAAGAAAAAATGTCCGGGGCCTCTGTAATTTCCTGACTGGCCAAATCATTGCACTCATCCTTCTGGTAGTTCTATGCTTTCTCTCGTGCAAAATTATCTCATCTATGCCTAGAATATCTTCTGGGTCATTTAGTGATTTCTCCCCACCACTGGCAACTAATGTGTACTCAGAGAAAAGGTGGAACAAGGTAGGTAAGTATTAATTTTTCTATCCTCCCCTCTACCCAATGTGGGACATGGTATTTATATAAATCCTAAACTCTAAATCTAGAAGCTTGATTGGTCTGTATCTGCCCTTCCTGGGAACAGCCCTCTGTGCTGCAATCTTGGTATCTTAACTGTCTTTTCCTGATTCAGCAGCCCCTCTTCTGAGTGTTACATCTTAATAACCAATGTGAACAACACAGCCTTGGTTCCAGAGCCCATCTGATAGAAGGGGAGTCTGACCATAGGAGCTTAGCTCTGATTCTGAGGTCTCTTGCCTTCCTCCAGACAACCTCTCCTACATTGAGCACATCTTTGAGATCTCCCGTCGTCCTGACCTGCTCACTATGGTGGTTGACTACAGGACTCGTGTGTTAAAGATCTCGGAGGAAGATGAGCTGGATACCAAGCTAACACGTATTCCCAGTGCCAAGAAGTACAAAGGTAAGAGGTCATGCCATTGGCCAAGATGAACCTCTGCCCCTTCTCATTAGTGATCCCTGAAATATTTGAGTTTTTAACACCTCACCTGTTATCTCCTATAACTTACCTCCCGGGACCCCCATCCCTTTTTTGCTCCCAGACATTATCCGGCAGCCTTCTGAGGAAGAGATCATCAAACTGGCCCCCCCACCGAAGAAAGCCTGAATAAGGGGAAGGAAGAGGAGGAAGGTTGGACCTTCGTCAGACCACTCCCCTCCCCCATTCTGAGAGGGAACAAGGGCATCTCCCTCCCTCATCTACCCACTTACTAACCTGGTCCTAACCCCCTTACTGTGCGCGTGTGTGTGCGTGTGCGCACGCTCTGGCTGTCTGTCTAAATGTCTAGCTCATCTAGTTCCTCCTCCCTACCCAGGGGCTGGGGATCAAGGGGCTGGGGGAGGAGGGTTTAAGTTTCCCCACTCAAAGGAAGGTAGGGGGAATTTCTATGAAAATAGAAACTGGTCTGTTTCTCCTATTTCCCTTTCCTCCACTCACCACATCTCTAAAATGTGGGAGCAGAAAGGACTTGTATTTTCTTGTAGCAATCAATGAACGGAGGTGGGAGTGAGACATGTGAGAAGTGGAGAGATTTAAGGAAAACCAGTGTAGATGTCAGGTGAAGAAACCACCAACCTCCACCTGGAAAAGCATGAAAAGCCAGAGATCAGTGTTTGCACCCCACGAGGGACCAGAAGATTCAAATTTCTAGATGTTTTCAGATTGGAGGACCTAGCCAACAGGAGGTCCCTATTTGTTCCCCTCTGGGCTGGGTATGAACCAGGGAACTAATGAAAGAGGACAATGGGATCCTTTCCTAGCCCCAAATATCAAACCCCAAAGAGCATTCAGCATTATATAAGTTCTCACCTCAACCACCTCTATTGTGGAGAGACTATGTTGGGAGCATGCACCACTGAGCCAGAGACGGGGATTAGGGCAGAGAGTAAGATCCCATTTTCCATTCCTTTATTCCTATTCAGACTGTTGCACATACTGACCCTAAAGCTAAGGAGATTGGGGAATGAGATCTTTAGGTTTTAACCTCAATCCAGCCCTCACTTCCAGGGTCCCAAGGTAGCAAGTGAAGGCAACCTTTCCTCCCTTTCGGGTCTAGAACACCCTTGGGCCAGAAAGAATGGAAGAAGTAACTAGTTTTCCTTCGCACTGATTCTCAACCCAATTTAATCCAAGAGGGGATGTGGTAACCCCTCTCCCAATATCCTGGCCCCTTGGACTCACATATACTTCCTAGCCAGATCACTATAGTGAGTGACCGCAGCCTCCTGCCTATCCCATGATGCCCCTCCCTACCTTGACCGTGCTAACTGTGTATACATATATATTCTACATATATGTATATTAAACCTGCACTGCCATGTCTGCCCTTCTTTGTGGTGTCTAGCATTAACTTATTGTCCAGGCCAGAGTGGGGTGAGAGGGAAATGCTATATATATAGTGAAGAGAGTGGCAAAGGCACACTGCTACTTGGTGAAAACAAAAAAGGTGTTTGGTTTGGTTTAAAAAAAAATAAAAGAATTCTCATTCAATCTCAGATTACTTAGAGAATGTTTAAGTTAGGAGCTTTTAGGGTATATGAGCAAAACTTTACTGGATGGAGAAGGCTAGCTGTTAGAAGAGGGAAGAAGCCAGACTGGTTGGAGAGCATCCTCCACTCCTAGCCCAGCCCAGCCTGCCTGTACCCTCTGGCCACTGCTGTGGACACCTGCCTTAACACACACACCTCAAGTACTCCACAGTTTTGCCTTAAAGGACCTTTCCAAGTATTCCCAGTCTTGTCTGGCTTAAGAAAAAGGAGCTACTTCATAAGTGAAAAAGAATGTGATCGTGCAAAAAAGGATAAAGAACCTTCTTCCTAGAGAGAGAGATCAGATGAGAGAAGAGACAGGGTCATTTTCAGAAGAGTCTTGTAGTTTCTCTGTGAGGCAAAATAATCTTAAAAAAAAAAAAAAGACTAACCTGCCCTTCCACACCTTGTACTGCTGTGAGATTGCTCTTATCCCACGCTCCTGTCTGCAGTGTGTTCTAACCCTGGAATAAAGGTGATTGATTGTACTGTACCTGATTAATTCTGGAATTTCTGTGAATAACCAGGCCTTTGGAGCCTTTGGATAGAAGGGAGAGGGAGCAATTATTTATTCTCACATTGTGCATTGCAGCCCAAGACAGGGGCTAGGAAAAACACCCCAGATTGTATCCCACTACCATCCCCTAAGCATCCCTGAGCTAAACAGAGCCCATTCCACTTAATAGTTTTCAGCTAAAGCCCAAACACTTGGTATCTGACTTGATTTGCTGAATTTCTAGCATGGATGGGAAGAGATAGTTTGGCTAGGCACCCACAATGGAAGGAGAAGAAAAAAGTGCCCATGAATTAATGACCCACATTCATGCAACACAGAACAGTAGTCAGGAAATAAACAAAACAAAAACCCAAATAAATAAACAAACAAAAAAAAACCTTTACTGAGAGAAAAATACAATAAATTCCAGAGTAGATGGCTTTCAGACCACTCATCACCCCACTAGCGAAAGGAGCACAGGCCACTCAGTCACCACACATTCCCCACCTCAGGGAGAAGTGCAACAGCTAACATCTGGTCTGAGAGCGGGTAAGTACAGGGGCAGGGGGACGAAGTGTCCTAGTAATACCCTCTTCTTCCCTGGTCTATTAAATCTGGCTGCCCCAGGATACAGAATTCCTAATGAGATCTTATGGGAATTAGGACAAAGAAATAGCAGCAAAAGCATTTAAGGGCAAGAGTTCCATGGGAACTTTCAACACTCTGTGACCAATGGTGAGACAGGTATCCAAGCCCCAGCCACCCAATTAATCCTTAGATTAACTACTTGGCCTGCAATCCTGAGATATATTAAGAGGTGGACAAGGTATAAAGTCAAACTCAGTTTTTCATTCCACCACTAGGAAGGGAGCTTGGTGGCTCAAATAATTAAACAGGTAAGTGTGTGAATGTCTCTGTCACACCAGGAGAGGCAATCTGCAGTGGCAGCACCCTTCTTGGACATAATTTAGTCAAGTTGCAATGATGAGCCAACCTCTCAAAAGAACAGGCTTCCTAGAAATTCCCACAAGACTTAAAGGAGAGGTAGGAAATCTGAGACTAAGAGTTGAGCAGAATCTTCTCTTCCCCAACCCCAGTCCTCATGGAAGGGAAGGGAGAAGAGGAAGACTGAAGAAGATTCTCTCCTTTTCCAGTCTCTTAAAACCTTAAAAAGTAAGCCTTTCTCCAGAGGCCCTATCACAGAAGGTAGGCTGACCCTAGGTATCACCTCTACATCATTACTCTCGCTCAACACTCTCTTCAAGTCCCTTTATTGCATTTATAGAGAATATATATATATACATATATATATATATATGTGTGTGTGTGTGTGTGTGTGTGTGTGTATTTAAACTTTGACAATAACTTTAACTTGATATATTCAAGCCTGACTTGTTTTTTAATATATAGATAAAAAATTAGCCTCTTAACAGTGCAGGGAGATTCTGCCACCACATAGACTTTTGTTTTTAAGTAACAGAAGAGGTAACATTTTCCTCTACCTCCTCATCTACTTTTCCTCCTGGCCTTTCTCCAACCTCCTTCACCAGATCTATTTGTGGGAGATGGGATAAAGAGAATGAAGGATACATCATCAAGTGCAAAACACTGTGATAAGTACAAAGAATTAATGAGGTGGAAAAGAAAGTGAAAATTGTGGGATGGTTAGGGGCTTAAGAACTTCTCAAAACAATACAGGATTCTGAGACGGGGTTGCTGGGGGACACACACAAACACACTCTCACACCGGGACCAACAATGAAACCATCTTAGACTTAAAAAAAAAAAAAAGCAGGGGGGAAGGCCAAAAATCTAAACCATAGAGTGGCACTCTTACCCCCCACTCTGGCCTGCTGGTACTGAACAGGTATTAGTCCCTCTGCCACACTCAAGAAATGAGGGAACATAAAGAAAAACCCCATCCCCTACCCCAAATCAGTTAAGAAAATGTCCTCCCCCTTCCAAAAAGGCTTCAAGGAGGACTTCTTCTGTTTTCGCTGAGTCCTAGGCACCTTTCCACGGAACCCAATCCAAGGTGTACTCTCACTCTTGGTACTCTCTCTTTAATGGTTCATTCTCCTTTGTTTTGTCCTTCTCCTGGGATGTCTGTCTTTTATCTAAAGCAAAAAGTTCAAAGTGCATTTCTGCTGAATATAAGAGCCTGGGACAAAAAAAAAGAGCTGTCCAGGCAGGATCGGGTTGGCAGCCCCCAGCCCGTCCCTCCTGGTGTGAGGCCTCAGGATGGCATGCACTGCACCCGGTCAGGGCCCTCCTCCTCGTCCGATGTGTCTGAGGAGCTGGGAGACTCATCTGAGTCTGCATCTGTGGCCCCAACCCCAGGTTCTCGCCAGCGCTGTGGGATGGGAAAGGCTTGTTAGTAACTTTTCTGAGACAAGGACAAGCCTGTTAGGTCTTAATCTGGAATTCAGATGTTTTAGACCAGGGGTCAGTCAACTTTTTCTTTAAAGCTAGGTGTATCTATTTTAGAACCAGTGGGCCATGCAGTCTCTATTACAATTATTTAATGCTGTTGCTTTGAACTCTGTTAACAGGTGTCTTCATAAAGACAAATAGCCACAGACAACTAATAAATGAGTAAGTGTGGCGGTGTCCCAGTAAACATTATTTATTTATAAATACAGAGGTTTGCTGACCCCTGCCCTACAACTCCTTTGGTATGAAAGGAAAATGAGAGGTCAATCTAACTTATTATTTCTTCTCCATTCCTTCCCACCCTCATATGCCTTGGCCTTTTTAAAGACAGCATCTGTCATATTTATGATGGAGATGGAGAATAATGGATAGGGAACTCAACCAAGACTACTTGGTTCCTCCTCTAAAGTAGTGAAGGGGTGTGGACTGGAGTTTATTTTTTACCCTGGGAATTTAGTTCTCATTCCAGCTTACCCGGTGATGGCGTCTCTGTCTAAGGTGATGCATGAGGAACCAAAGCATGTGGCTATCAAACAAATCAGTGTGGTGCAAGCTGTCTTCATCCCGCTCCCGTTTGTTCTTCTTAATCACCTGAAATCCAAAAACGCAGGGGGGTATAAGAACCTTGGATCTGATCAGGAGGGCTGGTGTAGTCTGTCCTATAAAGTTTCCTTTGGGAGCTGTATGTTGAAGTGGTGGGAGATTAGGAACAGATGCTTCAAATTCAGTTAGTAATAAAGTAAAAAGCTCTGATATAATATGATCCTTTCTAAAGATACCTCCCCAATATTCACTGTACCACCAACTAGATGCATTTCAAAGTTGCTGCCTAGATTAAGACAGTTCCTAGAGAGGCAATGACAGGAATGTGGGGAGGGTGTTACACAGCAGTACTTTCAAAGAACTGAGCATCCCTTCCTATCAGAGTAAAGAAATGTAAACACAGTATAAGTAAGTAAAAAGAAAACTTTGAGAATATACCACTTACATCCTTTAACCCTGTAAGCTCTGTGGAAGATTCAGCTGTAGGTGCCCAGATCTTGACATCATGGTCTAGTCCACTGGTTGCCAGAACAGGCAGGTGAGGATGGGGCTCAAGACAGTTTACCTGGTAGAAGGGAAGAAAAGTACTGACTTAGGGAGATGTGAAAAAAAAAAGTTTAAAAATCATTCACCTAGAGTCACCCCACTGTTCTTAATCAGGATTAGTGCAGCCAAAAAAAAGGTTAAGACCACAAAGTGCCTACTGGGGAGAGAAGAAACTCTGGACATAGATTGGGTAAAACAGCAAGTCCAAATTAGGTTAGGGATGGCTTTAACCTCTGGCACAGCTTGAGGTATGGATGGGTGACTGGTTAAGCTTATTGCTGTCTTCACAAGACGGCAGTGAAGCCTACGTGATGTCACTCACTCCAGATTGCAGAGCTCCAACTTGCCAAATGATGGGGAAAAACAGATTAAGTGACTTTCACCACGTGGCAAGTAAGTGTTTAAAAAGGAAGAAAGTACCACTGAGTCCTCAGACCTGGCATTTACTGGAATGAGAGAAGGCATAGGCTGAGAAAAGGTAGAGCTATAGATTAAGAGAGGGAGTGGGGGCTCATGTCTGCTTCAAGATTGTGCATATTCCATGGAATACCTTTGTGCTATTTTCCCTAAGAACACAATATGCTCAGTTGGGTGACAGCAGGACTAGCAAAGGAGCTTGCTGGAAGTCCCGCAATGCCTCAGTCCCAGCCACCTTCTAAGTACAAGCACTGGGCAAGAGAAATGAACTATGGCAGACAGGCCTTCCAGCTCAGGCAGCTTCCTTCAGTCTGAAGGTACCTACGCCCCCTGCTGTCTAACTTGAAAACACCAGATTCCCAAACAAGGAAGGGCAGGTTGCCCGTCTCCACCCACCAGAAGAGCTGGCCCCAGAGACCAAGCAGCTAAAGCATTTTCTAGTTTTTAGTTAGAGGAAAAATAGATAGGAAAAGAACACAAAAGGGAAAAAAGATGTGGTCCCAGTCACTCTTCATCTCATCTCACCCATCTTCATGAAACTGCCTGGTAGCTCAACTATCTCTGGTAAAAAAGCCTTACATTTCCCTCTCTTGCCTAAACCTTGAGGGATCTTTAAGCTGCCCTTTGTGCACACAAAGAGAGTAGTTTAAGAAAAGCTAATGGCAGGCATGGCTGACCCATGCTGCCTTGGCTTCCATTTTACAAACAAAAAAATTCAGGAAAAAAGATGGAATTTAAGCCGTAAGAATAAAACAGAAATAACGTTCCTTTTCTCCTTCCCCCATTCCAGATTAGCAAAATCTCAATCTGTGTTCTTTTAAGCAGTCAAGAAAAGACTATAGAATATGGGGCATTAGATAGAAACTTCAGTACGTTAAGAAATATTTTTAAAAATATGTGTCAATTAACATAAACAGGAATTCATTTATCTGGTAAACTCTTACTACACCTCTACTCTGAAGTAGCTCTGCTTAAATAAGTCAGCAAAACCCAAGGGGACAATCCCTTATAATTTAAGACTAAGGACAAAGCCAATGATAAGAGGAATTATAGAATTATCTACAGTGCTAGAGTTAGCGGCAACAGGCAAAACAATGAACAGAGAATAGACCAGATTTGTCTGAATACCAGGATTTACCCTTGTTGATAACTCCTGTCAATACAGAGTTCTGGCCTTCAAGAGTTCTAAGCTCGGGGAAATGTAGGGAATAGAGCCTTTCAGAGACTAAGAAGCTGTGCTTTAACCTAACATCTATCACTCTGCTTACAAAGAGGCAGAAACAAGTCAGGAAAATTACTTCAGGGTACACTCTATCATTGACCTCTTTGCAACATAAGCCCAAACCACTCCTTCCAAGCCAGTGCTCTCCCAACCTGAACACCTGGATTAATCATCAAACCCTTGGACTGGTTGAGCTGAAAGAAAACTGTCCTCAAGAGTACTTTTGGAAAACAGCACAGTGCTGGGCTTAAGGAGGACACTGAGTGCTACATCTCTGTGGGACAGCATGTAAGAAAATAGGTTATGATCAATAAAGCTCCCTCTTCCAACCCCTTTTAAAATTCCTTTGCATAAAATTCCTTTCCTCATTATAACTCTATAATGTTATAGTTCTGTTTACTGCAAGCAGTACAGAGGCACCTATTCTAGAGGTTCTTTATTGGAAGAACAAGAAACAGGGGGAGGGGGAAAATCAGACATATTACAAACTTGTAGAATTCTTTCCACTTTCAGACAAGACACAGAAGCCCTGGATCGCAAAAAAAAAAAAAAACAAAACAAAACACAAACCCAACTAAATTAAACTTGCAACTTGAAAAAAATTTAAATAGTCTCATTCTAAGGTAAGAAACACAAGAAGGGATGGGATTCTGATTGCACGCAATTATTTCCATTTTTAAAGCCACTCTGGATAAAAATATTAAGGAATGTCTAGGCTCTCTAGAGCTTCCTACACCTTAGAAGGAATGCAAAGGAGAGATCAAACTACTTAATCCCTCTGGATCTCAAAAAAGTGAGAAGGGAAAATGATATGATTAGCTCAATATATCTGAAAAGTTGATATAAACATCAACCTGGTAAATCTTCATTACACCTTTACTCTGAAAAAGTCAGCAAAAAAACAGGTAATAACCCCTGGAATTTAAAGACAAAGCCAATGGAAAGAGGAGTAAGAAAATTTATCTACAGTGCCAGAGTTAGATAAAAATGCCTCATCACTGCTCTATTAGGATTCACACTCTTGCTTTTTTGTTCCATTTGCATACAAGTTCTTTGCAAAATTCAAAGGACAGATTGTGATATAATCATATGTTATAAAGTAGGAAGCTAAGCCATTCTTTTTTAAAAAGACCTACCTTGCCCCCCCAACACACAAACATCTGATTGTTAAGCATGACACTTCACTAATATAATCATTACACCAAATAAACTCACTACTAAATACCAATTATCAAATATACAGATCATACTCTGATTTTCCCAATTGTCCCCTACCCCCCTGCCCGAGAAAAAGGACTTGAGGAGGAAAAAATAAATTTTTCTTTTTACAGTGTTTATCTCTTGACACAGGATCCAGTTAAGCTACTCTTAAGGGATGTGACATGGAGAGACACCTTTGATATTATACAAAAGGGTATGCCTTTTTGTGGAAAAAGTTCAGACCCAGAAATAAGTAACTCACTCGGCGAGAGGGCACTCCTCAAGATTCCTTTCTCATCTCAATAAACTTAGAGGGGCAGGAAAAAAAATTCTGCCAAAGCATCAGCACCCACATCAGCACCCTCAGACTATATAGCCTTTTCGTGTAGCTAGCTAGACTTTATAAGAAGAGATGCTCTCATGTTGTCACAATAAGAATTCAGAATTAGCTTAAGGTAAGCTAACACCTACTAAAGGAAGCCAGAGAGCAACACATCATACTTACCACACCTCCTTTATCTCCCTCCATGAACTGAATAATCTGACAGGATGATTTCTCCCAGAGGAAGATGTGCCCGCAGTCACTTCCACTCACCACAAACTCACTCTTGGGGCCATAAAAATTGACACCTTTTACTGAAATGATAACAGAGAGGAACAAACCACATAAGGATTGGCATTAAACCAAACATGTTTACTTCTAAGAGAATTTAGTTATTCATAAACTTTAAAGCAGCTGAGAACCAAAGAATCTATTTACATTTACAAAACAAATGATGGGATTATGTACATATACTAAACTGTCTTAACAAGAATCACACCACAGACCCAAAGATTATTCTTCCAAAGAGCTCTACAGGGTTGAGGAATCAACAGTCCGTCAGCAACAGCATCCATCTGATTAGTCTGTATCCTCTCAGAGTACCCACTGGCCTCACTAATGCCTTCCCCTTCCTCACCTAAACCCACACTCCCACACTTTAGGATTATCACTTGTATGACAATGTCTTGGGTTATGAGCTGGCTAGTGACTGGTACAGGCACATGCTACACTTGTATGCACATGCTACAAATAAACACAGCATCTGAACTGTGCTTGCTATGACTTCTGATCAGTGGAGCTTCTCTAGAACCTCTTATTACTAAGAGAAGTTTCCTTAAACAAGCACCTTCCATTTGTCTGCCAGTAGACTGAGATTCAAATATAGGGTTTATTCTTATTTGTCATGCATTTAAGAAAAAAAGGAAAACAATTCAGCTTTTCTTCCAAACTCAAAATTACAACTGATATGTGTTAAGTGCAAAGAACTAAAAGCAATAAATCCCTAACTTGTCTGCCTATCAGAAGCAGATGCTTTTAAAAATTCTGAAGTTTAAGTAGTATCTTATACAAAATACAATATATATGTTAAGAACCGAATATATACAAAATACAGTGGATATATTAAGAACTGAAAGACTGTCTTATGACTGCAATGTGAGTAAAGTTTGGGAACCAGAGACATACAACAGAAAGGCCATTTTCTGTTGCAACTTGGCTAACTAAGGTGATGGCTAAGCATCACCATTATTCCTCCTCTACCTTGCTTTTGGTACTAGTGGCTGAAGAGGGCTTTCCCCAATTCCCTATAAAGCCCTGTACCTATCCTGAAGCAATAATTTAAAATAAAAAAGTCAATAATTTATAAAATAAAGAAAAATAAGCAAACATGTCTATCTAATCTCCATATGATTAGGTACTATGTGCATGAAACAGTCCAGAATAGCAGCTACATAGTAAAGTGGACTGGGAATGGGGAGGTTGTACAACAACAAAATTTTTTTTTCCAAGAGAAAAGTAAACTGGGTGGGTACGCAGGGAGGAAAATGTATACAACAATGATGAACAGAAATCCAAGTTCTCTCTAAACTTTCATTGAAATCTCAATTAACAATTCAGCAAAGTGGCAGGATACAAGGATCAACATACAAAAAATCAACTGGACTTCTCTACAGTAATAAAGAAAATACAGAATTGGTACTGAGAAAAACAATACCCCTTACAATAGCTAATCACAGATTAAATACTTAGGAGTAAACCTAACCAGAAGCACAAAGGATCTCATCAAAGAAAATTACCAAACATTATCACAAGGAAGAAAAAGAGAACTGAAGAGGTGGAAAAATATCCCTTGCTCATGACAGGAAGACTCAAAATCGTGAAAATGACAATATTTCCAAAGGCAATTTACACGTTCAATGAAATCCCAATACAAACACTAATTCCACTCTTCAACAAGATAGGAAAGGCAATCTTCAATTTCATTTGGAATGGAAAAAGGCCCAGAATAAGCAAAGCACTCCTTAGAAAGATAACCACTGCCTGATTTCAAATCCTACTACATGCCGTTGGTGATCAAGACAGCATGGTACTGGAACAATGACAGACATATACATCAATGGAACAGAATTGAGAATCCAGAAATCAGCCCATCTACCTGTGGTCAACTGATTTTTGACAAGGAGATGAAAGCAGCTAAGTGGGGAAACCACAACCTTTTTAACAAATGGTGCTGGCAAAATTAGAACACTATCTGCAGAAGACTCAAGCAAGATCCACGACTCACTCCATATACAAAAACCAACTCAAGGTGGATCATGGACCTAGGACTAAAACCAACAACTATAAACTTCATTAAAGAAAAGCTTGGAAGCACTCTTGAAGTCCTAATCCACAACATAAAGAGTCTTCAGCAATCTTGGAAAATCTGCAACCAGGAGAGGATAAAATAGATGAATGGAACCTTCTAAGTTTCAAATCCCTATGCACATCCAAAAACTTCAACACGGTAAAAAAGAGAAGCCACAGATTGGGAAAAATACTTGGTAATGACATGTCAGACAGGGACTTATACCTAGAATTGAGCACCACAACAAGATAAAGGTAAACAACCCAACTGGAAAATGAGCACAGGATATGAACAGACACTTCACCAAAGAAGACATTCAGATGGCCAACAAACATATGAAGAAATGTATAAAATCCCTAGCTCTAAGAGAGATGCAAATCAAAACAACTATGAGCTATCATCTCACCCCAGTAAGAATACCAAAATTTAGCAGAACAACAAATATCAGCTGGAGAGGTTGTGGAGAAACAGGAACCCTTCACTGCTGGTGGTAGTGTAAAATGCAACCACTATGGAAGACAGTATGGTGCTTTTTTTAAAAAGTTGCAAATAGAAAACCATTTGACCCAGCAATTCTACTACTGGGAATTTACCCTAAAGAAACCATAACTGCCACCCAAGCAGATGTATGTTCACCCATTTTTACTGCGGCTTTGTTCACAATAGCAAAGAGCTGGAAACTACCCAAGTGCCCATCAACAAGCGAATGGATAGAGAAGCTCTAGTATATTCACACAATGGAATAAATACTATGCAGCATTGAAAAACAAGGAGCTCATGAAATATTATGCAAAATGGATCACCCTGGAGGACATTTTGTTGAGTGAAAGATCTCAGTCACAAAAAGGACAAATATTGCATAGAGCCACTGTTGTAAAACGGGACTGACATCAGGGTTGAGGAAAGACAGAAGGAGGGGAGGAATGATGTATATTGCATTGAAACAGAAGAGGGAGAGATCTGTTTAAAAGGGATATATGAATGGGTATTTTCATCATTACAGAAGTCCAGAGTGAAGGCTGCACAGTGGAGTGAACTTGGGGGGAGGGACTGCATAACAATGAAAGAGTTTTTCTTTTCAAGAAGAGTGATTTTGGGGGGAGAGGGTGACTAGGGAGAAAAAGGCAACAATGAATGATTCGAAATCCTAAGTCTCTGTAAACTTTCATTTAAATTAATACATATATTTAAAAATATCTCAATTAAAAAAAAAGATAAATACTGTATAAGACCATTCTTGATGAACGAGTATGAGAAGCCAAGGGGAGAGGGACTTAATCAAGGAGCACACAATTTGGTGGGTGGAGGGAAGAGTGAGTAAAGGAAAGGGGAAAAAACAGTGCAAAAAACAATACATATAAACTGTCTAAGTAAGCAAGTATAAAATAAAATTTAAAAAAAAAATTGTTCCTGAGCCCTTTCCTTTCAACTCAGTATAGCCACAAAAACTCTAGGTCAAAGGAGAGCTTAAGATCACAGTGGAGTAGGCTATCACAGTTAACTGCCACCACAAAGTCCAAAAAGACAATGTTCTACATCCTACTTTTGTGATTAGCCACTTGGATTTTAAAAGATTAGGAATGAGGCAGCATTGCCGGGGAAGAAGAGATGATGGAGAATTTTACTGCGTTCTTTGGCACTCAGGCTGATCCACCACCACCACCAGCTGCTCTTGGCTTTGGCCCAGGCAAACCTCTTCCTCAGCCCCCGCCTCCGCCTCCGCCTCCTCCAGGCGGAGGACCCGGCACTGCCCAACTGGTTCTGACAAGTCAGGGGCCGGTTGAGGCCCTTTCTACCTGATGCGGGAACTGCCCAGCAACACAGAGCTGGCAGGCAGTACCAATGTGATCACACACTACAACCTGGAACATGCCTAAAACAAATTCTGTGGGATAAAGGTGAAGGAGAAGCTAAGTAATTTCCTGCCTGACCTTCCAGGTTCCCATGATAACAGCAGCCTCCACTCCCTCATTGAAAAGCCCCCAATTCTTAGTGGCTCTTTTAATCTTATTACAGGGACCTTGCTGGCTGACTTTCGCCTCCACACTGGCCCGTTGCCGGTACAGTTGTTGCCTGATGCATATTCAGCCTCGCAAGAAGAATAATAAACACAAACATAAACAGAGCTGTACCCAGAATCCTGTCCCCCCAGAAACACCATCTGATTCAGATCACAAAAAGAAGAAAAAGAAAAAAAGAGGAGGATTCTGAGTGGAAAAAAATAAGAAAAAGAATAATCAACATAGTCCAGACCACCTAGGAATGGGCAGCTCCCAGGCCAGGAGCAGCAGCAGCCTTCACTAACAGGACCACTGGACTGTGCCAGGATGGCCTTCCTTGCTGTACTGAACCTGCTGACAGACATTGTCAGGCCCTCCAGGACTGCTGAGAGTGTCTGCTTCTAGAGGGGGCCCAAGTCAGCACCTGCTGCACTCAACTGAGGTTGTCATTTTAGAAAGTGCTCAGTCCAACTCACTCTCAAGAGACATCTACTCTCCCAGGAACTTTTGTTTCACCTCTTGTAGTCTGTCTGATTTGGTACTTGTTCAGGTTTGTTTTCTTTCTTGAAAAGGGGGAGGGGGGGGAAGCCATTTTTTTTAAAAAAAAGATTAGGAATGAGTGGCTATTTAAGGTGTACTACTGGTCTCTCTCCATCTAGGAGAAAAATGGGTAAAAAAAATAAAAAAAAAAACCCTACTAATTCAAAGGACTAATGGGCAACATAAAACTCAATCTCTAGAAGCTCTGATGGTCTAGTGGCAAGAAGATGCACTGCAATACCAGAGGTATGCGGTTCAAACCCACCAGATGCTCTACTGGAAAAGGAGGGGCAGCCCCTCCTCCTGTACCGGTCAGATCCGATTTGCCAGTACACACACAAAAAATAATTTTTTTAAAAGGTAAAAAATGCTTAATCTCTAAGAATCTTGAAACAACAACTAGATGGAACTAGATGGTGCCCAGCTAATCAGTGCTGATTGTTCTGAAATCACAATTTAAGGTCATGGATGGGAAAAAAATACAGAACAAAACTGAAAATTGTAAAAAGACCAAGTTTACTTGTCTAATACAGAATTGTGGAACCTCCTAAAACTATGGCCTTTAATCACCCTCCAAGCCTAGAAAGGAAAATATTCCTGTTACTCAACTTTCATCCAAACAAGAGACACGCCTGTAAAGTGAGTACACAAAAGAGGTTATGTGCTCCTTACAAAACCAAAAAAGCAGCATCTGCCCAAAGATTTCTGTCAGAAAGCAGAAAGGGACAGGTCAGACAAAAAAGGAACAAGGAGGAAGTAGAAAGAGTGCCATTATAATATCAATGTCACAAAACATAATTATCTATGGAAAGCCAACTTTCTTGGTAAATTTTGACTCAAATCACAATAAAAAGGAAATAAAAGCAAGCTCAGACCAATTAGAGATAACCTCTCACTCTCCATGGTGACAAGCAGCCTACTCCTTTATTTGTACAAACTGAATAAGATAATGTAGTTCTCTAAGAAAACAGATCTGGGCCATGGAAATGTAGGAAGACAGCCTCACCTGTGGCATTATTTCTGTGGCCCTTATATCTCTTAACATACTGGGCCCCATCGCTGTGAGAGGAGTTGAAGAGGTAAATGTCTTCATCATTGTAACTGGCCAGGAGCTCTGCCAAGAACAAGCACATAGTAGTGAAGGCAAAGGCTGAAAAAAGTTAGAGGACCAGGCATTAGGGGCTGGGATGGGGCTTTCTGCTAGTAGCGCCCCCTTATAATACCCAGATAAAGCACCCATCTTACTCAGAAAGGAGGCAAGTCAGGTTGTCTTGGAAAGGCTAAAAACACACTGCCATCCTAGGGGTAGCAGAATGCACAGGAAAATTTACCTATTAACTCATGAATAAGTCAAAGGCATAAGAACCTACTCAGGCAAGTTGCCCATGCTTTAGGATAGGCCCTGTCAAACATCACCTGCAATGTTCTGCAAGCGGTGCCTGACATCCTCAAGGGTCACCTGCTGCATCCTCCCACTATATGCTCACCATTAGCAACTATTCCCCAACTGCTCCACCTGGAGCTGTAGCACAGTGGTGAGCTCTGGAGGGCATGTGCCTCACTGGCTCAGCAGCTCCCTAGACAGAGGGGGCATGCCAGCCTAGGAGCTGGGCCCTGCTCACGTACCTGTGCCGTCGTGGCTGTACACAAGACAGGTGATGTTTGCTTTGGACTCACTGTTCACCTGCAATAAGGAGCAGATACTGACTGATGCCCCACCCCCCCATTTGTTATACCACCTTTAGGAAACAGGTTTTTCTTCCCCTACATTTTCTCCAGTGATTAAGAGAAAGAAATAGGGACAGGAGTATAACCAATGAAATATAACCACCTCTGGGAAGAGTCCTAGGGATTTCCGCTGATTATTTCTGTGTGCTAGGTATTTTATATACATATTATCTTTAGAAGGCCTGACCATCAGTGGTGGAAGGCACTTATTGTTACCTCTATTTCATCAATGCATAAACTGAGGCTGACAGGTGAAGTGACTGGCCCAAACCAAGGAGCTGGTAGGTGGTAGAGCAAGGCATTCAAATCCAAATGCTTGATTGAAAGTCCAAGCTCTATTACTAAACCAACAAGCTTGGAGGCAGACTTGGGGGCAAGTCAGGGAGACTTGGCAGCACTGGCCTTTCATGATTCTTACCAGGTGATGAGGACAGAATTTCTTGAGTACTCCATTGTTCTCATTCTCATCAATTTTCCTCTGGTCATAAATTCTGTGGTGAAGAAGTAATGAAAATGTCAAAATATAAGAGCTGATGATCTCTTGAAGAGTTGCAATTCAATATGATAGCAGGAACAAGTCAGCTGAAGTAAGGGCAGAGAAAGAATGTTTCCCCAATCAAGCTCTGGCTTATGTTCTTTCTCTCACCTTGAAGGTCTTCATGCCTCAATCCCTTTCTAAACCCTTTATAGTCCAAATCCTTCCTACTTCAAGTAGCAATCTTCAATTACATCAGTATGAAGTGGTCTGAGTCCCCTCCCAACTTTTCTATCACTTTTTAATGTTTTTATTAAACAGTAAACAATGTTTAAAGTTTTTAAAGCCTCATAATGTTAGCTGTTTCTTTCACTAAAACAACTAACATCATAAAGCTTTTAGGGAAATGTTATCTTCAGCAAATCTTCAACCTGTCCTTGAAATCTATTTGATTAGCACTCTCTCATCATATCCCACCCCTAGAAACTATTATAAGCCACTACCTTTCTCATCAAGAATCAAATTCCTCTCACCTTCACACTTCTCTAACTTAAAGCTTTTCTAGTTTGATCCTCCAAATGATTCATTTATCATAAAGTATTATTTGAGGTGCAGGAAGAACAGTAAAGAATATAAATCCAGTCCTTATTTGCATGGATAAGTTTGTTCCAGTTTCAGAGCCCAATTATTCCCTTAATATCAATTCTTCAGGAATCTTGAGTTTTTTTCTAAACCTCATCACTGTGTTCCCACATCTGAAAAAAAGACAGTCACATTTTACTATCCTTTCTTATTGCTTTTTCTTTCAGTCAAATTACAGAAAATAACAATTTACCTTCAATACTTTCACTTCCTATTAATCTCTCAACTCATCCAAACATGGCCTTTGGTTCTCATTTCACCACTGAAACATTAGTAACCTAATTGATATTTGTCAGGCATTTCTCATTCGACTTGACACTACTGATTACTCCATTCTGAAATACCTTTTCTTCTTTAAAGTCTACCCAATCTGACCACAACAAGATAAAGGTAAATAATCCAACAGAAAAATGGGCACAGGATATGGACAGGCACTTCACCAAAGAAGACATTCAGATGGCTAACAAGCACATGAAGAAATGTTCAAAATCCCTCATTCTAAGAGATGCAAATTAAAACAACTATGAGAATAGCAAATTTAACAGAACAGCAAGCAACAAATCCTGGCGAGGTTGTGGAGAAACTAGAACCCTTATTCTTAGTTGGTGGGAGTGTAAAATAGTGCAACCACTGTGGAAAGCAGTATGGCGCTTTCTCAAAGTTACAAATAGAGACACCATTTGACCCAGAATTCCACTACTGGCAATATTCCCCAAAGATACCATAACTGACATCCAAGCAGATATATGCACACCCATGTTTATTGCAGCTTTGTTCACAATAACAAGGAGTTGGAAACAACCTAAGTGCTCATCAACAAACAAATGGCTAGAGAAGCTGTGGTATATTCACACAATACTATGCTGCGTTGAAAAACAAGGAACTCATGCGATTATTATTCAAAATGGGTGACTCTGGAGGACATTATGCTAAGTGAAGTATCTCAGTCACAAAGGAAAAACACTGCATGGTGCCACTTGTAAAACAGGACTGACCTTGGGGTTGGGGAGAGACTGAGAAAAATGGGTTCAATAATGTATACTGCACTGAAACAGATGAGGGAGAAAACTGTTTAAAACGGTTATGTGAGTAGGTATTTTTGTCAGGACAGGAGTCTAGAGCGAAGGAAGGCTACATGGTGGAGTGGACCTGGAGGAGGGTTTGTAAAACAATGAAAATTTTTCTTTTACTTGTCCGAGAGGGTAGCGTTCTGTGGGGGAGGGTTGGGAGGGGAGAAAAGTGCAACAATGAATGAATGGAAATCCAAAGTCTCTGTAAATTTTTACTGAAATTAATAATAAATTTAAAAAAAAAAGTTGGAGGGGAAAAAAAGTCCACCCAATCTTCAATGGTGCTCAGGAGTTTACCGTTAAGTCAATGCCTTAAATGTTCTCCAAAGATCTAGTCTTTTAAGTTTTTCCTCTAACTATACACTAAAGATTTAAAATCTGACGTCTAAGCAGTTTTTTACCATCCTCAAAGTGTTTTTGCCATGTGCACCTTTCTGAGGTGAAAGGTCAGTTATATTTTCAGAGACCAAAGATTCAAAAAGGGAGGTAGGTGGTGGTGGTGTGTGAAATATCCTGCATTACTTTCCTTTGGTGATCAAATTACATTTCTTAATGCTTTAACTACCACTTAAATACAGACAGACTGTGTTGTTATGTGTCACTGTAGCTATTTTGATACATAATTCCCCCATGTGACAAAGCAGAACTGCCCCATAGGATTTCATAGGCTCAAAGATTTAAAAAAAAACAAACAAACAAATCTTGCTGTGGTTTGGTTGAAAATGTACTGAGCAAGTAAGTTTCCCATTCAACAAATCATGTAATTTTTTTTGTTTGAGTCCGCTACTTATGGAAACAGACTGCCAGGTCATGAGACTCTTAAATGTATACTCCAGCTCATATTTTTTTCTTTACCTAAAACATAGATTCTACTGCCAACTAGATGATATAATGGGATGTCCCCTTAATAATTCAAGCAGTACATTCAAAAGAAAATTTATTTTCTCTATTCTAAAACTAAACTTATTCTAAACCTACTCTTCTCCCTGGATTTGCAATCCAGTGGTTGTTGCCGTTGTGTGCCATTAAGTCAATTTTGACTCAATATGTATGACAGAACAGAACTACTCCAATAAAGGTTATGTAGGCAGTAATCTTTGTATAAACAGATTATCAAGTCTTTTCTTCCAAAATTTAACTTTTAGTTAGGAACTAGGTACTTAACTATTATACTATTCTATACTATTCGAGTGCCTTTTCATTACTATTACTATCACTATTACTATTACTATTATTAAAGTTATTATCCTCAACTGAGATACCCAAAACAAAAATCAGATCCGTTCTCACCCTTACAGTTAATTTCTTTGCACTCAAATCTACTTTCTGAATATATTTTTTTAACTATACTTTTTCTCTACCTACTGTCATTTGTTGCACAGAATGCTGCAGTATTGTTCATTGTATCATTACACTGTCACCAGTTATTGAGTCTAAAATCCTTATTTCATGTAAATTCTCTATTTAAATCTCTTCAGTAATTCTAAGTTCACTAAAATCCCATAGTGTGGTCGCTTACCACTTTTCCACAAAGATCTTACACATTACGTAAAAAAAGAGACAAAGAAAAATTAAGACAAAGAAAATAAGGGGGGAAAAAAAGAAATGCTCATTTCCCACTTGACCTTATATCTTCTCATTGAAGAACTATTCAAAACAACAGTAACAAAACAAATCCAAAATAACTACCACCAAATGATTCTAACTCACAGCACAACTACAGTACAAAGTTGAACTGTCCTGCTGGGTTGCTAGGCTATAAATCATAACAGGACTAAACTGCCCATTTTTCTCCTTTTTTAAAAATTGTTTTATTTGGCAAATATTTACTGTATGCTTATTAAGTACAAAAATACTTGCTCTTATTTAAGGTTCTAATCTCACGGAGGACAGAGAAAACACATTTTGACAGGTAAAACTGTAGATGTGAAAACCTGACTAAATCCAGCAAAGAATCAAATTTAAAGAAGTTAAAAATAATCGTTAAAACAAGACTTGAGCTCTTTTGGACCCTCACTTCCAACATGACAAAGAAAAGAAGAAACAGTTGTGCCAAATGGGCCGTGGCCGCGTGTAGCCTATTCACTGCATGAACTGCACCCACTGTATGCTCCAAAGACAAGGCAATTAAGAAGTTCATAATTCAAAATATAGTAGTAGTAGAGGCAGCTGTCGTCAGAGACATTTCCGAAGCGAGTGTCTTTGACGCCTATGTGCTTTCAAAGCAAGCTGGTGAGGAACTGTTCTCGTGAAGCCTGGGAGGACCGAATACCTCCACCTAGATTTAGACCTGCAGGTGCTGTCCCTGCCCCACGACGCCCACCAAAACCCATGTAAGGATTTGATTCCTTAAAGGCTAAAGAAAAAACTAGTCTGAAAATTAAACGGAAATTAAAACAAAGACTAGAGCTGTATGAGGCAATTACAAATATACATATTATAGTAGGTTATCACCTAGATAGTTGTCTCTTGCTGTCATCTGCTTTTGCTCGGAGATTAGATAACCAAAAAGAATGCTAACTGGGGTGGATTGCATGTTTCCAGTTTCTTTTTCCAGTCATCGTCTTTTCTGGACCTTCTTTCTCTGAGTATGTCCTATAAGAAGATTTTCACTGTATGTCCTGGATTTTAATCTCATTGTTCATTTCTTGATGGGCTAATGGTAAAAGGCAGCTTACAGATTACTATATATCATAGATTATTACATTATATTATAGATGATTTCTCTTTCTTCTCCTTGACCACATCACCTCAATCAATTTTTGGTGTTTTGCTTCAGAATGCAATCTTGTCTTTACTCTCAACTGGGTGCACCTTAGTCCTTACACTGACATAATTTCTCTTCAAATCTGGAGAGGTCCCTGACTACAGACTTTCTCAGTGCAATGCGTATCTCATCTCCTGACTGCTAATACACAATACTTCTCCTCATCTCCTGACTGCTAGTACTTAGTGACTTAATCCAAGGAAGATTAAGTCACTGATACTTTCAATCTTTTCTCCATCTATCATGATATTGCGTAGCAGTCCAGTGAATAGGATTTTGTTTTCTTGACATTGAGATGGAATCCATATTGAAGAATGAAGTTTTTTATCTTCTGTAGCAAGTTCTTCAAATCCACTTTCAGCAAGCAAGGGTGGCTTAGTGGTAAGGAATTAAGCTGCAAACCCAAAGGCAAATGGTTCAAATCTACCAGATGCAGTGGTAGCAAGACAGGTAATCTCATTTGATTAACTACCTACCTCTGAAAATCTGCTGGAGGGTCAGCTATGAGTTGGTTCCAACCCAAAAGTACACAACAATAGCATAGTTTTTTTCAGGGTCTTAACAAATGTGAAATCGAACTGAACTAATTCTTTGCTGAGTTATCACCTAAGTTGCTTTGTTTCTTTAATCCTTAAGATACCTGTTTTTCCAGAATATTCCAGTGATGACAAACACTATGTCCAGCACAATGCAGATCTAGGTGAGAGTAAATAAATGCTCAATAAATGCTGGATGGATGGATGAATGAATATATAGTCTCAACAGTCCATTGTTTAATATCTTGCATAGAGAACACACCCAGGAAATAGTACTTGAAAACCTACATGAACACATGTACTGAGAGAGGGGCTGAGAGAGATTGCTGTTTAGCCAATTGCTACTCTTCAGAGAATTTATGAGCTGACAATAAAATTTTTTTGCTTAAAAGTAAATCTATATCAACAGTCTTCAAATGTCATTAAGCCATCATCATGAAACTGCATACAAGTCACTTTATTTTAAACAACCTAATTACAGTCTATCCGTGTACCTCAGTATGTAATGTTTTTTGCACTTTTTACGTACGGCAGTATTCTTATTTCTCCTTTATTTATTGTTGCAGTGGTATGCCATCAAGTCAGTTATGACTTAACAGAGATTCTGTGTGACAGAGTAAGACAGCACCACAGGGGTCTTTAGGCTGTAATCTTTAGAAAATGGTCTTTCTTCCTATGGAGCTGCAGATGGTTCAAAGTACCAACCTGTAAATAGGTACATATACAACCAAACACTTAACCATCATACAACCAAACGTCCTTAGTACTTAAGAATTCACTACATTATAGTTAAGGAAGCTCTGATGGCCAATTTGATAAGGAGTTGCAGTACCAACCCAAAGGTATGTGGTTCGAATGCACCAGCTGTTCCATGGGAGAAAGATGGCAATATCCTCTCTCTGGATTCACAGCTTCTGAAAACCCATGAGCTGGTTCACAGCCTTAAGCCGGTTCCGACTCAATGGCACACTACATATATCATATAAGAAGTACTAATGAAAAGCATTAAGGAGCTCTGGTGGCCTACTGAAATGCATTACATATTATACCGCTAACCAAAAAGTCAGTAGTTCAACACCACCTACAGGAAAATGATAAGCAATCTTCTTCCATAAAGGTTTAGTTTCAGATTCTCAAGTACGGGAGCTCTAGTAGCCTAGTAGTAAGAAATCATGCTGCAATCCCAAGGGCATAAAGTTTGAATCCAGCTGCTCTGTTGGTGAAGGATGGGCAATCTCTCCCCATGTCATTTAGTGCCTTTGAAAACTGCTGGAGAGTCAGCTATGAATCACTTCCTACTAGATGGCACACCACAACAACAGTGGGTGGACATTAGTTGGAATCACCTCATCTGCGGTGGTTTTGGGTATATTTTCAATAAGATACTAGACCAGGGTTGGCAAACCTGTATAGGGCCAGAAAGTATGTATTTTAAGCTTGTAGTTTATTCAGTCTCTGTTGCAACTACTCAACTTTGTCACGGATGCATGAAAGCAGTCTTGGACAATATGTAAAAGAACAATTACAGCTATATTCCAATAAAAATTTAATTAACAAACATAGTTTGCCAATCCCTATAGTAAACCACATTGATACAAAGATGAGTAAGTATTTCTCCTGCTCTTTGGATTTGGATGTTTGTTGTTATTTTGTTGTTTAAGTTCTTTTTCAGAGGAGATGCCAAGGGCAAATGAGCATTTCAGGTAGAGAAAACCAAATGTGATGAGATATGAAAAGAGCAAGGGCATAAGGCAGGCCCTTGACATTTTAAATATTAAAGTTCCTTGTCCAGCACTCTCCCTTTATTTACTTCATCTTTGTTGAAAAGCCTCAGAGTACTAGCTACTTACTTTAACTCCTCTTCGTTACCTGTTTTTCTTCACCTGTCTTTAATCTAGCATCCTTTCAGTGTCGATCTCAGGGAGTTCAGGTACCATTTCTTGACTGTGTTTTAGGAATCGTAATACAGCACTATCAAATCCTTTAGCAATGAGTTTACAGGTCAACCAGCACATTACCATCTCGACCACCACAGGATTCATCTAACACAGTCCCCTTTTCTCCACTCCTGCAAATCAAACCTGAGAAGGACTTCGTAGTAGAAACTGGAACCTGTGCCTTTTCTCCTTGCCGGTTTCTTTTTCCTCTTTTGGCTATTGGTCAGCATTTTTCTACAGGTTTCTCTTCAATGTTTCTTCACAATCCTAAACTAAAATTCAGTATTCGTGATGTAAAAGCCTTGAAGACAAGTTAACTATTTCTACCTATTCTTCTGGAGGAATTTCTTTGGGCTAGGAAAGAAGCTTTTAGTGTTATGCTATAAAATATTCAGTATAAATGTTTCCAAATTTGTATTGAAGAAGTGGTTTTGAGATTTTCTCAAAAAAAATTCTAAAACATTCCCTTTACTAAAGAGGTGGCCAGAAAAAAAACTTGAAAGTGACAAGGGCACAATGTCAAAAATGCTGAAAGGATCATCTGATCACAAGTTATCAGAGTGCTTCAAAATCGTAGAAAAACAGCAGACGTAGGTTCCCTCTCATCTGAAATGCTAAAAGTCATTTTCATTTCACAATCCTGGGAAAGGATCAGCTTTGGAATAAAGCATTATCAATGACTATTCTCAACACAGTCAACTCTCCCATTTCCCTTCAAACATCTAGGTTCTAGAGGCAGAATTCTTTGGGGAAATAGTAATAAAAAACTGCAGGAAACCTAGCAAGTTCCAATTAGACATTCTCAGTAAATGCTTACTGTAATAGTCCTTCAAAGTTCCGGCAACTACAACTATTTTGAACAAGAGTCTTATTAAAACAAAAAAAAAGACACTGCTACGTATTTGACATCTGGTAAATAAAGGAAAGGAACTGTGAAGGCAAGAGAAGCAAAGAAAAAAAAAATATTCAATTTTTTTGCAGGATATATTTTCTATAAAGTGATCCCTATTGTTGGTGTTGTTGATTGCCTTCGAGTTTAGCATGACTCATAGCGACCCGTGAACAAAAAGCCTGAAGCCCCTCTACAACTACTGACATTTATCAAAGTTCACAGAGTTTCAGGAGGCATGCTATATAGGAAGTGGATGCCATTAATGTCAGGACAGTGATAAAACTATGTTCTCATTTATAAAGAATGATGATGTTTCTCACCCACTATTAAAAAAGCAAAAAGATTCTTGGGTTTCAGTATCAAAAAAAAAAAAGCAGGAAGCCCCATTTTTTTAGTGATCTCTCCCCTTTCTCCACCCTTTCAAAATAATACTTCTGGCAGACAAGGAAACACAGCTAAAATAGGCAAACTGGTTGAGGTGGGGCACAGTTTATAACTAAGGATAAGAAGGAAATGAACAGGACATCCAGGACTGAATCCATGACTTCATTTTTTCTCAGGATGTGCCTCAATAACCAGTCACAACAGATCTAACAAAGATCTCACTATGTATAAAAAAAAAGGGGGTTCAGGACAATGAGACTCAAAAACTGAGCGCTCGCAAGTCAAACTATTTCTGAATCTGAAACCAGTAATCAAATGTTTTAGTTTAATATGAAAAATGGTAAAAAATATTTACTAATTGCTGGTAAACCAGAGTTAATGGTTTAGCTATAAAGCAGAAATCTTTCTAGAATTTTAATCAAAGACTCTTACTTTAAGGAATAAACCCAAGACGCTTAAGCTCTACAGACTTAGATAATTCATACTTTTTAATCTGGAGTACCTCATAGTATAATGCAATAGCATCTAACACTTTTAAAAATATAAAAGAGCCACAGACTCACCTTACAAACTGATCTCGTCCACCCACTGCAAACTGGTGGGTATTGGCAGGATTCACATAGATTGTGTATAGCCCTACTTTCTTCTCCTTCTCCTTTGTCACCACCAGTTTCCTTTAAGAATAGAAAAGCAAAGTTATATTCCCCCAAAGGTCCAAATGATTACAGTAAGTACGAGCTGAGTGTTAATGTAGACATGGCTAATCAGAAATCAAACAGATTCTCAACTGGAAAGAAAAACTTTAGCATCACAACCGAAAAGACAGACATAAGCCACTACCACATATATTTACATCTTTAGGAATTGAAGAAAAAAATTCCGTCAAATCATGTTATAAGTGTTCCTCAAGAAGCACAAACAATTTAGATCCTCCCCGAAGAGCTGTGGGTGAGCATTAACATTATTGGTAAGTATATTCGTTTTCTCCTGGACACAGAGCCTACTAATTGGTCCTAAAAGTCTTCTGAGGTCCCAACTCTTCTCACTATTTCTTAGTTGTTGGAATGGATGGAAAACCTCATAAGACTTTCCTTACTCCACCCCTACCTTGCATGCGAACTTCCGAGTTGTAAAACAACCCAGTGGTAGATGGAATTTGCTCCAGGACTTAAGAACCATAAATGACATAGCTGAGCCTCTACATCTTGTGGTTCCTAACCTCTACACTATATTGGAATGGACGGAAAACCTCATAAGCAGTTCCTTACTTCACCTCTACCTTTCATGCGGACTTCCGAGTTGTAAAACAACCCAGTGGTAGATGGAATTTGCTCCAGGACTTAAGAACCATAAATGACATAGCTGAGCCTCTACATCTTGTGGTTCCTAACCTCTACACTATAATAGACAAAGTGCTAGTCTATAGGCCTTTTATTGGAAGAACCACCTTCCCTCTGTAACTTGATTTGTGCCACTATTAGAACCTCTACTCAGAATATTATTGCTTTTTAATTTTTGACTCATGTACTTTTAACTTTAGTTAAATTTGTATCTTCTAGGCTGCAACACTTCCATGATACATCTTCAAGGATATGAACATGTACGGCTAAGCACAACTGATAACAGTGCACCTAAATTCCAAAATCAATCTCCACAATAGTCTATGTGTTTCCTACTGCCAAAGGGGCCCTTTAGAGTACTGAGAGAAGATCTTCACCCTGAAACCCACAGCGTCCCTTTTCAGCAGGAAGTAGCTAAGAGAATACGCCAACCCCTTTTCCTTATGAATCAGGGTGAAGTCTCTCTCAGGGAGGAGTGATAGGGAATGGCAAAGGACACACTGACAAAGGAGATTAATCAGAACTGGCTTTGACAAGCACTGTGGCAATTGGACAATTAAAACAGACATTCGGGGGGGGGGAGAAGAACGAACTGGGGAGGAGGGTAGAGAAAACAGTGCAACAATGAATGAATGAAAACCCAAAATCTCTGTAAATGTTCATTAAAACTAATAAAATTTAATAATAATTTAAAAAAAAAAAGAAGCAGCACAAACAAAAGATATGAAAGCTCTGCTGCTCATGAAGCTTTAGTTTGGTGAGAACTCTACACCTTAACAACCAAAAACTGATACTATTACCCAAGTCTTCCCATTCTTTATTTTTAAATATATCTTCCCAATCACCGAGAAACAGGGAAAGGTTTGGAGGAATAATCAGAGTAACACCAGACTCAAAAAAGAACTGCCTTGGCTTAGTGGAAAGGCACTGTATTGACAATCCAAAGGTATATGGTTCGACTCTACCAGCTGCTCCACAGGAGAAAGAAGGGCAATCTTCTCCCAATGCAATTTATAGCCTCTTGAAAACCTCCAGGAGTGTCAGCTACAGGTCAGTTCCAACTCAAGAGTACAGACAACCAATCTGAGCATTATACGCTTTAAAAAATCACCTGTATGGGTTCAGAATGACAAGAACAACTCAAAACACTAGACACGAACTTTTAAGGGCAATGAGTCTATGTTAGAGAGAGGAAAAACTCATAAACACAGGATGAAAATAGTTGCATAACTTGAAGAATGTAATCACTATCACTAAATTGTAAATACAGAAACTGTTGAATTGGTTTATGTTTTGCTATGTGTATTTTCAACAGTAACACTTGTAAAAAAATGCAATTTAGAAGAAAAACTAAATAAAACTACATACTACCATATAATCTAGTAATTCATTCCCCTGGGTATTTATCCAAAGAAATTAAGATTTATGTTCACAAAAACTTATACAAGCTGTTGTTCTCATTTGCCATCGAGTCAACTGAGACTCACAGCAATCCTACAAACAATGGAGCTGAACACTGCCCTAGGATCCCCCAAAATGGAAATCCAGTTGCCTTTCAATACGTATTTAGATTATGGGATAATACTCAGCTATAAGGAGGAAAAACCTGTTGAAATACAAAATAATGCATCTTTGGACGAATTTCCAGAGGCTTACACTGAAATGTAAAAGCAATCCCCAAAAGGCTGCATGCTATATGACTAAACCTCTAACATTTCTGAAATGTGAGAAAAAGATTAATGCTTGCTAGAGCTTAAATATGGGATAAGGGCAGAGGGGAAATTAATAGAAAAGAGGAAAAGACCTCTGGATGAAAATATCCCACCTTAACTGTACCAATATACACAGTGGTAGTGATACTGTAGTGTATGTAGTATTACAGAATGTTACCCCTAGGAGAAACTGAGTCAAAAGGTGTTTCTTACATCTATCTGTATACTAATCTACAATCATCTTAAAATCAAAAACAAAACAAACCCCTCCAAAACCTCACCATAAATTAAGAGAAAAAAACAGACCATTTCATAAGACTAAACAGTAATCCAAAGGAAAATAGCATTCTTCCTCAGTTAACTGAAGCAAATTAGGAATTCCTCAAAATAGTTTGTTTTTAAGTCTGAAAAAAAAATTAAAAAATTACTCTAACTGTACTGTAAGAAACATCACCCTATGGTGTCTTTAAGAAATGCCAGAAAATAAAAACAGTAAACCCACTGTTTTTATGTTATCATTCTGAACATGTATGAAGAGGTAAAATCAGGGTTTGATGAACATTTGGAGGACTGGAAAATAAATCAGGGCTTTATGTGCAAGATTTTAGGCTGTTCTGCCTTAGTGAAATGGTATAGATTCTCTTAGGTTCCTCTTAGTATTTGTCTCTCCTTTTTTTTTTTAAAAAGCACCGGTAGGAATGGTTTTCATCTCCTACCTAGGTACTATTCCACACCCACTCATAGAAGCAAGAGAAACGAGAGAATTAATTTTATCTTAAGAGGATTTCAATCTCAGGGGAGCTCTGGTGGCCTAGTGGCAAGAAGCTGCACTGCAAACCCAGAGGTATGCAGTTAGAATCCACCAGATGCTCTCTGCTGGAGAAGGAGGGGCAATCTCCTCCTGTACCAATCAGATCCGATTTGACGATATCCGCACACAAAATAATAAAATAAAAAAAAGAGGATTTCAATCTCAAGGAAATCAAAGCACGTGGAAATGTGGCCTAACCGTCAGCTAGGGTTAGCATCTCCAGTGATGTATGCTCCTATTTCATTCAGAAACATTCACCTCTTAAATAAATCTGTAGGTCCAAAGTTCAGGTTGGGAGTAGGGGAAGACAGAGAGACTGATTTAGACACAATAATCTAGCTAAATAGTCATAATCAGTTCTCTAGTATATTGGTGGCACTGTGAGTCTTTTCTCCAGATCTAACTGTCCAATCAGTATAAAGCACAACGCCATGAAGATCAATAGGGAGCTCTGGTGTCTTCTAGTTGCTGTTAGGTGCTGTCAAGTTGAGTATGACACTCACAGCAACCCTATGAACAACAGATCTGAACCCTCTCCTGTCTTGTGCCATCCTCACAATCTCTGACGCTTGCATCCACTGCTGCAGTCACTGTGTCAATCCACATGGTTGAGGGACTTCCTTTCCTTGGCCAATCCTCTACTTTTCCAAGCATGATGTCTATTTTCGATGAATAGGCCGTTCCTAGCAACATGCTCAAATTCTGATGGCTTAGTAATAAAGAATTGTGCTGCCAATGCAAAGGTACATGGTTTGAACCCATCATCTGCTCCAAAGAAGAAAGAAAAGATAGGCAGTGTATTCCTGTGCCATTAACTGCCTCTGAAACCCACAGAAGGGACTGTTATAGGTCAGTCCTGACTTAATGGTATACAAGAAAATTAATACACTTATAGAAAAGGAAAGATAACATTTTTTTAGAACAAAAAATAATAATAATCCATCACACTGTAGGAGGGAGTTGGGCTTTAGCTATTGTTTTTAATTCTAAGGAGTTAAGACATTTTGATGCTATGGAAACAAAGAAATATAACCATGACAAGAAGTTTCTTTATAAAGTAATTATTTTAGCATCTTCTCAGCATGGTCAAAGTCACCCTAGAACAGAACTGCTCTAGGTAAAGTAAAGAGACTATAATTCTCTTTTAAATCTTAGTAAAAAGGTCACAGAAAATTAACATCTTTGGGAGAGAATGAAAACAAATACAAACATGCACCTTAAAAAACAAGGCACAGTGGAGTGTAGGGGTGGGAGGGGAGATATGATTGTATACCAATGAAGGAATTTTTCTTTTACTTTTCAAGAAGAGGAGTAAACTGAGGGAGAGGGATGGGCAGGGAGAAAAGTGCAACAATGAATAAATGGAAATCCAAAATCTCCGTAAATGTTCATTAAAATTTTTTTTAATTAATAAAAAAAAAACTATAAGGCGTGCACATGTTTATTGTGGCTCTGTTCACAAGAGCAAAGAGTTGGAAACAACCCAAGTGCCCATCAACAAACTAATGGATAGAAAAACTGTGGTATATTCACATAAAGGTATACTATGCTGCACTGAAAAACAAGGAACTCATGAAATATTATACAAAATGAGTGACTCTGGAGAACATTATGCTAAGTGAAATATCTCAGGCAAAAATGGACAAATGTTGCAAAACGGGACTGACATGAGAATTGGGGGGAACTTAAGAGGGAATAAATAATGTACACATTACATTGAAACAGATGAGGGGAGAACTATTTAAAAGAAATATATGATTAGGTATTATTTTCATGAAAGAGTCCAGAGTAAGAGCTGCATAGTAAAGTGGACTTAGGGGGGAAGGCTTGTATAACAATGAAAACATTTTTTTTCTTCAAAGAGAAAAGCTGAGGGGAGGGGTGGGTAGGGAGGAAAGCGCAACAATGTATGAATGGAAATCCAAAGTCTCTCTAAACTTTCATTAAAAAAAAAATCATAAGGCAGAAAACTGTCATTGTGGAAAAGAAGCTGTTCTAACCAGGGATTTAAACAAGCAATGTGTTAGGCACTGATGCCTTTTCAGTTCCAGGCCAACTCATCTCAGAAATGTAAGACTTTTAAGAGGGTAGTTGTTGTCATTATGTGTCTTCAAGTCAGAACTGACTCACAGCTGATCCTCCAGGGGCATTCAGAGGCTATTAATATCATGGGAGGATATTGTCCATCTTCTTCTCACCAAGCAAGCTTTTAAAATGGTGGTGTTATTAGGTGCCACTCACAGTTACCCTATGAATAACAGATTTGAACCCTGTCCTATCCTATGACATCAACTCCCACCTAACAGTTACTCTTGTAGAAGCAGCAGAATGAAGAAAAACAAAGCTAGACTGTAAAGTACTAGCTCATAATTCTGACGAAGAGTTCAATCTTTCTATGCCTCAATTTATTCACCTGAACAATTTCTTCTCCAAACAGAAAAATAAATGTAGGGTATAAAGCTCTCTGGGAAACATAAAAACGAGCCACAAAAATTATTAACAAAAAAGTAGGAAAAAAGTTTCACACTGGAAAAACGCATCATACAAAAGAAATTTAACACACTTTGCCTCAAAATTAATCAGCAGGTATGTTATGCCCCAGCAAAATAGTAAAATAATTAATGAGACCACAGCTGTTGTTGTTGTTGTTATGTGCCATCGAGTCGTTTGCGACGCATAGCGATCCTATGCACAACAGCCCTAAACCCTGCTCTATCCTGCGCCAACCGCACTGCCTCTGACACACCCATCCCGATTACCCCAGTCACGTCTGAAGTGATAAAACTGGTAGTTACTACTAAAATTATTGTAGGGGAGGGTCAGCTGTAAGTTGTTTCTGACTTGATGGTACCTGATGTTCAATATGGGTTACATCTTAACATCAAGAAAACAAAACCACTAGATCAGGAGGGTGAGAAGGGAAAGGGAAAACAAAACAAAACAAAACAAAACAACAAAACCAAACCCACTAGATCAACAGGCAAGACTGAGATAGATGGAACAAAGATTGAAGTTGTCAACAATTTCATTTTACTTGGATCCCCAAACATTACCCACATAGCAGCCATCAAAAAAATTTAAAAAGGGGTTGTATTGGGGAAATCTGCTGTCAAGGGCCTCTCCAAATTGCTAAGGAATAGGAATAAAAGTTCTAAGACTAAGATGCACCCTATTCAATTCATGTTATGTTAGTTTCAATTGGTTCCTATGGATCTTAAAGCCGGATAATGAGTAAGAAAGACTAAAGAAGAATTAATGTCTTTGGATTACCGAACTGGTGAAGAGTATTGACTATCCCATGGAAAGCCAAAAGAATAAACAATTCTGTCTTGCATGAATGCAACCAGAGCGTTCCTTAGAGGCAAAGATGGTAAAACTTCATCTCACACACTCTGAATATACCATCAGAAGAGACCAGTCCTTGGAAAAAGATAGTGTGCTGGAAAAGGCAGAGTCTGTAAATAAAACTGACACAGTGACTCTAACAACAGGCTCGAGTATGGTGCAGATTTTAAGGATAAAGCAGGATAGGGCAAGGTTCAGATATGTTGTTATGAGTTGGAATCTACTTCAAGGCACTTGACAAAACCACCATCACCAGGGAGAGACAGAGAGAGAAGGACACACACACACACACACACACACACACTCTCTCTCTCTCTCTCACTCTCTCTCTCTCTCTCTCTCTCACTCACTCACTCTACACAAACTTCCCAGTCCAATTCAGCCTATGCTACCACTTTTCCAAACTGAAAACTGGTACAGGAGGAGATTGTACCTCCTTCTCCAGCACAGTATCTGGTGGATTTGAACTGCGTTCCTCTGGAATTGCAGTGCAGTTTCTATCCCTTGTATCATGGCTTATACATCAATTCATAGTCAACTCTCATCCAGATTTCCTGTTTACATTTTACGTTCAATCCATAACCTACCAGTCATTCTACTTGTATGCTAAGTAAAATCAGTGACATTCTCTACCAATACTAGTACTGATACCTGCCATAATTTTTAAAGATTAAGAATGCAGTAAATAATCTAGTCATCTACCTAACAAAATCCACTGCTCCTAAGTCAATTTCACCTCACAGTGACCCCATAGAAGACAGAGTAGAAAGGTCTCAGAGGATTTATAAGGCTGCAAATCTTTATGAAAGCAGATTGCCACCTTTTTCTCCCCAGAAGTGGCTGTTGGGTTTGAACTGTCAATCTTTTATTTATTTCTTTTTTAATTTTTTTTATTTTTTTATGAACTGTCAATCTTTCAGTTAGCACATAAGTGTTTTAATCAACAGATAGCTACCTAAAAACAGTGACTAAATAGACTTATGTATACCAATGCTAAAAGGGGCTCTGGTAGCTTAATGGTAAGGAATTGTGCTGCCAATCCAAGGGTTAGTGGTTTGAATCCACCAGCTCCACAGATGCAACTTACTGCCTCTGAAAATTTGTTTGAGGGTCAGTATAAATTGCGTCCAACTCAACAGTCCTCAAAAATAACACAGCAATTCTGTGTGTGTGTGTGTGTGTGTGTGCGTGTATTTAAATTTTAAAAAGTGATATGGGATTTTATGATCTGACATACAAAGATCTCCAAAACATGTTCTAATGGGAATAATGTTGAGTTTTAAAAATAAATATGGACTCAAACTTACCAGCTATTTTGAGAATATCACAGAAATGGGAAACATTTATTCCAATATATGTAAGATTGCCATGAGTTGGAGCCAAATAGATGACAACTAAAATGATTATAAAAAAGGGCTGGTAAAAAAATGTTGGTAGCACTTATACATTATTTTTATTACATCCTCTCAACACGTTGCCACAAATGATGGTTTCTAAGCACAGTCGTCACTTTAAGTGTGTGGCAATGTGTTAAATAAGAATGTATTTATAAATTAAATGAGCAGGTAAAGGAGGGAAAAATCCTACAGTGACTGTAATAATTGCTACTATTTTATCAATTCAAGCCTTAGAGTCATGTATGATGCTACTATAAAGACAATGAACAACTCAGAAAGGTTAGGTGACATGCTCAAGATTATAACAGTGTCTGGGCCAAGATTTGACCTATGTGAACTTGATACAAATAAGATGCCATGTTTGTTCTACGAAATCACAGCTGAAAGGAGATATTCATGTAAATATAGGCTGTGATACAGCTTAATTATGCTACCAATATTTTCAAGATTTATCAATTCTATGTCTGCATATGTAACATAATTAAAAAGTAAACAAGATTAGACTATATATAAGCTGCTTGGTAAAGTACACAAAACAACATCATTTGCTTCCTGTGGAGAAACTAAGTGATACCTAAGTAAATGTAGATCAGAAAATTATCCACTAATTAAAGCTCACACAGGGGAAATAAGCCTTGTTTTACAAAGGAAGGTAGTAGGCTAAGGAACATAAAATGACAAAGGAATAAAGAATTAGGAATAAAAGCAGGGGGAAAGGAGTAAGGCTTAGATGATCAAGCTTTAAACTGTCCCTTACAACAAATATAAAGGGACTATTCTGACGGACAAAAATACTCCTTGAACAGAAGAAATATCCTCAAGGCCAAGATTTCTATTCCAGTTTTGTCATGAAACTACTGTTATACTTACGAAGCTGGCCGGTCTTGTCTAAGGTCAATAGTGAAGACAACTGCATCTTCACCTGCAGACAGGAACGTACAGGGAGAGTCTGGCTCCAGGGCTAACTGAAAAAGAAAACCGTAAAGAACAAGGTTTTTAAAAGCAGTACTAGTTTCATGCCTCTTTTGAAAAGTTTTAAATAAAAAAGCCTGCCTTTAAAATGTTTCACTAAGAAAAATGTCTGATATTTTGGTTATTAAGTCCATTCTCTCACGCTTTATGTAGATTAGTTATACCTGTTTATTCTGTAAGGCACTCTGTATAACCAAAAGGCTACAGGTCTCTCTCTAGTGGTGTGAATCCAACAGTGGTTTCAAGGGACAAAGATACAGTCTCCTCAAGTTAAGATTTAGGAACTTCAGAAACCCAGTGGAGGGTCATTAAGAGTTGTGCTCAATTTTATGAGTTTATTTTTGTTCATTCTGTAAGGAGTCCTGGTGACATAGTGAGTTAAGAGTGGATCATAAGTTCTAATCTACCAGTCTGCATCACAGGAGAAAGATGAGGCAGTCTGCTGCTCATGTTAAGATTTACAGCCTCAAAACCTAATAGAAAGAACACCAGGAGTCACAATTAACAGTAGTGGGTTTGTTTTATTTTATAAAAGGTAAAAGAAGAATTAGAAATACCAGTCAGTAGTAGTTATTTTCAAATTCTACTTCGGGTCCTCAATTGGAGGGTAAGGCCAAGTTTCCTTTTTCATATCACAGTTTATGAATTATCTAGTAGGTTTAGGGTAAGCTTTCTTTAAAATGCATGTTTTATTTAATAAAAGTTTATAAAGCTCACTGGTTTTTTTTCATTCACAGGCAAAAACTACCATTAACTGAGATAATTAACTTACTACAATGTATAAGCAGTCCTATACTGCTATACCCTTAACCTACCTTCTAAGTTTGGGGTTTGGTTTTTTTTTCCACTTTTCTACCTATTGCCTCAGATCTGACCACACAACCAGTAAAATGAAACTTCTGAGCCTCCATTTGCCACCTTTAGCATCCCTGGGAGTGTTATCTCCAGCTGCCTCCACGTGGACACAGTGTGCCACTGGCAGAGTCTTCTACACCAAGAATTGAGAGGCCAACAAGGCATAGCCTGGCAGAGCCCTGGAGATGGAGACAGAGTTAAAGGTTTTACTTGCTGGATGACTGGCATAAGCACTGACTTGTGACAAAGTTTGCTGGATGACTGAGGAAACCAGAGGTTTCTTGCATTTGTATTGCTGGACTGAACCTGGACTTTCACTTGTCAATTGAGACGCTCTCTGAACTAATCAAAGTATTGTGTCTTCTTGTTAACATGGTTTGGGACTGATGGACTAAACCTGAATATTCACTGTGTGAAGCCCTTTGTCGTCCCCACCTCTCAAACTACTTCCTTAATAAACTGCACAAATATCAGTAAAATCAAGTCTGTGAGTCACTGACAATTTCAGATCCAGAAATTAGTATAAGTAGGTGCAGGAGAGTGGGAGGGCTATGTCTGACTTTATTAGATCACTTTTATACTGTTGATGTTGTTGATAAAGCATGCTCCTACTTGTAGAATAAGCATGCCCTTCCCATCAGGCTGGTGTCCTGTTCCAGATTGTTAATTAATGCATATGTCTGGTCCTCTATTCTTCATCTCTTCCAATACAAGAATGAATGACTGACCCATTCTTTTCTTGCTCTTCCCATCACTCCTTCCCAGACCTATAACTATTCTATTTTTAGAACAGTGGTCTTATACAGTATCTTTTTGTGGCTGCATTTTTTTCATTCAGCATAATGTTCTCCAGTGAGTTCATCATTGTTTTTCAAAGCTGCCTAAGACTCCATTGTAAGGATATACCAGTTTTTTCCTATCTATTCATCTGCTGACTGGCACTTGGATGGCATCTATCTCTTTACACTTGTGAATAATGTTACAACATAAAAACAGATGTGTGTATTGATGTTTCTGTTGCAGATCTGATTTATTTAAGGCATTCTCCCCATAGTGGGATATCTGGATCACATGGTGTTTCTATTTTCAACTTTTAAGAAAGCACCAGACTACATTCCACAGTGGTTGTACCATTTACATTCCCACCAGCAAGGGATAACAATTACAATCTCTGTGTGTATGTCACCAACATTTGATGTTTGTTGTCCTGCTGAACTTTGCTACTGTTGCTTGGATGAGATGGTATCTCATCATTATTCTCCAGTATATGAGAACTAGTGATTCTGAGCACTTCATGTTACTGGCCATCTGAATATATATATATATATATATATATATTTTTTTTCTTTGTATTGCAAGTATGCTTTATTTAAAATGCATGTTCTGGAGAAAAAAAAAAAAAACAAACACCACCACACATGCTTTGTTGAAAGCAGAGGCTCAATGGGGTCAATCTGGCCTTTTTTTCGTTATCTTCTCCCTATTTTCTAAGCAGGTTGTCTTTTTTTCCTTGAGATGGAATATTGTATAGATTTTAGATAGGATTCCCTTTATGTCACTTCAGAATTTTCTCTCCCTATCGATGGGCTTTTTACCCTACTGGAGAAATTTCTGATATACTCAAGGATTTGATTTTCAGAAGCTTCATCTATTTTACCCTCTCCTGGTTGTGGATTTTAACTTCTCTTTGAAAGTCTAATCATGGACTGCGCTTGTAGGTTTGTTTCTATTTTGTCTCTGATAATCTTCATAGTTTTTGGTTCCTCCCTCAGGTCCCTGGATTCCCCCTGAGTGTTTATGTACAGTTTTGGGTGTTTTGTTTTTTTTAATGTGAGGTGTAGATCTTGTTTCCATTTTCTACAATGGATGTCCAATTTAGCCAGCACCATTTGTTAGAGTCGCTCTCATTTCTCTACTCAACGAATTTTGTGTCTTTGTCAAAGATCAAATGATTATAGCTCATAGTGGTGGTGGTGGTTGTTGTGTGTCACTGTGTATGACTCATAGCCACTCTATGAAAAATAGACTTGAATCTTGTCCTATCCTGTGCCATCCTCATCATCTCTGATATACCTGAGCCTATTGCTGCAGTCACTGTCAGTCCATCTTGTTAAGGGTCCGTGACTGCTGGTACCAAGGGTACTTGCTCAATGTGGATCCAAGTAAGATGAAATCATTTGACAGTTTAATCCTTTCTTCATCTATCATGGTGTTACGAGTGGTAAGGATCTTTGTTTTCTTGATGTTGAGATGTAATCTGTATTGAAGCCTATAGTCCTTAATCTCCTGTGGCAAACATTTCAGATACTACTCACTTTCAAGGTTGTGTCATCTGCATGATTCAGGTTGCTGATGAATTTTCCTCCAATACTGATGCCTTAATCCTCTTCAGAGAGTCCAGCTTCATGAATTGTTTGCTAGCATACAAACTGAATAGGTATGGAGCTCTGATGTATACAGCTTTGGTGCACATATGTCCTGATTTTAACTAGGTACACATTTCATATGCACTCAAATCCTTCTTGATCTAGGTATAAACTTCATGTGAGCACAAGTAAGTGTTCTGGGACCCATTCTTCTCAATCATAATCAATTCCAGTTTGCTATGATCTACAGTCAAATGTCTTTACATAGGCAAGAGAACAGAGACATTTCTCTCGTGTTCTCTTTCAGCCAGGATCCATTTGACATCAGCAATGGTATACCTGGTGCCATCTCTTTTAAACCAAGCTTCAACTTCCAGAAGTTCTCTGTCTATATACCACAGTAAGAGTTTTAAAATTATCTTTGGCAATATTTTCCTTGCATTTGTTTTTAATGATATTATTAATTTCCACATTCTCACCTTTCTTGGGAATGGGAATATGGATCTCTTCTAGTCAGTTGACCACAGGAAAATAGACTGATTTCTAAGTTAATTTTATCCCAACATGTGTCTGTTGCAGTACTAGCACCAAACTCTTTGGATTACTACGGCTTTTAAATCAGGGATGCATCTTTTTCTTTTTCAGTTGTGCTTCTCTTATTCTGAATTTCCTTTCCAGATAAAACAGGAAATTGACTTTTCTATCTTCTTAGAGAATGTCCTAGGTATTGAGATTGCATTGAATTTGTAGATTGCTTTTGGCAGAATTGTCACATTGAGTCATTTAATCGATGAAAATGGTATACTCCTCCATTTGTCTAGGTCTCTTCTTTTATACAGCTACTTTCTCTTATACAGGTCATTTCTGTCTCTAGTTAGATATATTCCTAAGTCTATCATCTTGTGGTTACATATTATGCCTCTGGAAACTCTACGGACTTGAAATGACAAAAGTTATAAAACAGGGTTAAGGTCTTTTGTTCATAAGGTTGATGTAAGTCGTGCTCAATTCTGACAGCAATCAATAACATCAACAACAAAAGCAACTGTTTTTCTTATTTTCTATATTCTCTGTTATTTTTTCAGAGAAATCCAAATGATTTTTTTTTAAATGTTGCTACTGTGTGCTGCCACTTTGCTAACTGGTCCACTATGTTCAACAATTTTCTTAATAAATCTTAGAGAGTATTCTATATACACTACTCTATCACCTGCATAGTTTTCCCTCCTCTTTGACAATTAGGATAAGCTTAAAAGTCAAAGAAAATAGGTCATTTTTACATTTCCTGAATCATATGGCCTAAAAAATTATTACGCTAACAGGTGTTCCACACCATACCACATACTTTACTTGGGATTACAAGAAAGTAGCATCTTCTTTCTGTGGCACTGTAAACAGGGTACCTACGCTAAGATGAGATAGTTATTAGCTCCTCAATGTATGCCACCAGTAAATCCCTTTCTTTTACATGAGCTTTAAAAAACTCCATAGTGCTACTTCTGAGTTGAAAGCTGAATGTAGTAAAATTAGATCCCTCACCGATGAGAAGCTAATCATTAGTATCCTGGGATTGTTAACATGTGTAAAAGAAAAGCAAAATAAAATTTAGAGGGTTGGATGGCATAAGACACTAAAAATTTCCAAAAAAACTACAGTTTTATTTAGTCTGCTGTCAGGGACCTCTCCAAAATACTGAAGAGCAATGATGTCAGTCTGGAACTAAGGTGCACCTGATACAGGCCATGGTCTTTGCAATTACTTGCTTTGCAACAGAAAGCTGGACAATGAATGACAAGGGACGACACAAGGAGTTGATGCCTTTGAGCTGTGGTGTTGGAGAAGAGTACTGCATATACTATGGACTGTTAGGAGAACAAACAAGTTTGTCCTGGAGAGGGTTAAGCCACACTGCTCCTTGAAGGCAAAGATTCTAAAGTACTGTCTGACATACTTTGGACATGTTGCAAGGTGAGATCAGTCCTTGCAGAGGGTTGTAATGCTTGGGAGAACGGAGGGACAGCGTAGGAGAGGAAGACCTTCGATGAGGTGGACTGCTTCAGTCACTGGGGATAGGTGTGTCGGAGACAGTAAGATTGGTTTAGGATAAAGCAGGGTTTTAAGGCTGTTGTGTATGGGTCGCTGAGTTGCAGGTAACTTGAAGGTACATAACAACAACAACAAATTAATTATGGTCTAGAAAAAATAAATCGAGTGCAAGTTTCATGTTTAAGATCTAAGTATATCTCAAAGATTTGCTTTCTAATAAGTTTAAAGTAACTGACTTTTCTCTCTTATAAAAAACTCTGGCTTGAAATAGGGTAAGGCAAGTAGCCAACTTCACCTCAGTAAACAAATGAGAAATGATGAGCAAAGGTATGGAAGGGATCTTGGCTGATTCCACAAAGGCTCTTGACTGCATAAAATCTAGGACCAAAGTTTACTTACCTTGTGGGAGGCTCCCTTATGCTGAGCCACCCGCTTCGTATTCTTGCAGCACTGTGTGGCTGAGAGTTCGGCTACCCGCACCTGCCCATCACGGGCACACATGGCCAGGGTGGAGTCACCACTGTTAGGAAGAAACTTGGCCTACGATGGTAATGAAAAAAGAAGTACACTAAAAGAAATGAAGACTCTGAATGGAAAAAATGAGAAAAGGACTCCAACTCATCTTCCTCTAATGAAAAAGCTGGACTAATAGTTCTATTACTCTTACACAACTGGCAATTACTTCTGGAAGTTAGAAAGAATGAACATCAAATGGGCATTTCAGCTGGCTCCATGTAAACTGTATCTAGCAGGAAAGAAAACCCATTTTGACTCAGAGAATAAACAAATTTGTACCAAAGGAGGAGGGGCGATGACTAGGGAGGATATTAGGGGAGAGAAGAGAAATTTGTTAGGGACTAATGGAGAATACCAACTAGACATTTCAAACTTGGTGGTTCGAGTGAAGGAGTAAAATCTCTATAAAATAACATTGGTAAGGACCAGGCATGGCCTTCTTACCACTTAATCTTCATAATCCTATGTACTAGTCATACTTTAAAAATAAACTGAAAACAGATATTAAGTCTTGGCCAAGATCATACAACTAGTGACACGGTGAGCCAGGATTTAAACCCAGGAAGCCTGAGTCAACAACTTAACTTTTATGCTATTTCCTAATAGCACATTTAACACTCTCCTAATGAATTTCAAGCACTCTACCTAAGGTTTCTAAAAGTCTCTTATGTCCAAAAAAACAAAGGGCTATATGAGCCTATGACTCCTCTAAATCACTGTAGAAACCCAGGTATGGTCATGAGTCCTACCTGTCAAATGTCAAATTCCTACCTCAACTTACTAGGAACTCCAACTAGACAGCGGTTTAGACCTGTCTAACCCACGCTTTCTTTCTCAAGTGCTATTCTGTTCCTTTGCCTCACCTGGAAGACATTACTTTTGTGTCCACTCTCAAAGTCCAATACTGGCTGCCGCCGAACCCAGTCCCACACTACCACCTTCAAATCATCACTGCCACTGGCCAGCCAGGTGCCACGCTGGTTAAAGTGCAAGGTATTGACACATCCAGTATGGCCCTCAAGCCCATGCTGAAGGCGAAAACGCTGCACAAAGACTCTTGCCCCACAGGCCTCATATACAAAGCGGGAACTTGAACCCAGCTCCCGCTCCCGGAGAGCAGGAAGAGCTTGCCAGCGGGGTGGGGGCAGAGCTGAGGTCTCTGAAGACACCCAATCCTCCAGAGCCCGTTCATCATCTGATGAGTCCTGTTCACGATTGGCCCGCTTGCGCTGTATACGGCGTCGAGGTTGTTCTTCCTCCTCCTCCTCCTCCTCCTCCTCCTCTTCCTCTGAGCGATCATGGACTCGATTTTCATCATTGATGGAGTAATGACCAGTGTCCTCCATGCTATCAGAGTCCTTGTCTTCACCTGAGCTCTCTGTGTCTGTACCTCGACTTTCTGTGCTAGTGCGATTGGGGCCACCATCATCGCCGGTCAAACTCAAGCTCAGGTCTGAAGCCTCTACTTCAATGCCCGAAGATGTCTCTCTCCCCTCCTCGGCTCCAGACATTTCCTCTGGACTGCTGGATAGACTTCCTAGATATTAATAAGGAAGGGATAAATGCAGTGGAAAAGTAAAGAAGCAGAACAACATTCATAAAGATTTCCATCTAAGAAATCTTAACATCAAAGGGTTCAGAAATGTACTTTAGCCAAATATTTTCATTATAAATAATTATAAAAAGTACCTTCTGAGGAGAAAACTTGTGCCTGACAAAGTAACTACCTTAGGCTCTATTCTGTTGGATAGAAACCTATTCGTTAAGAGCCTATAATTAACTGAAATATAAGGATAAATATCCATTCCCACCAACAGTTAGTTGTCATCTTAGAAAAAGACGGAAAAACTTCTTAAAAAGTACTCTGAATTATTAATGTGGTATTCAGACCACGTCCCACTTCAAGAAAACATCACCATAGTTTCTCCTCCTATATCCTACGTTTCTTTACAATAGGTCTATTTAGGATTCTTCTTAACCATAGGTTAATTTAGGATACTTTTCACTGGGATTAAATCCATCAGGAATAGAGAATGAGGTGAAGGGGGGAATGCATGAATTGTCATAATCTCATTCACGTCTTTCCAGTAACTCACCCTGACTCATTTCTATTAATTTAATATTGTTTTTAAGTCATAGGAACTCTTTGTAATGAATTTTATCAGGAAGCATGTATAAAGTTGATAAAAATAAGGCCACACAGTAGGTATCTGTGAAGAAAGTTAATTACAAGGTTTGTCATAGCTATAAAACTGTCACTTCAAATGACCTAATCCCCAAGAGTTAGATACTACACTCCCTTAACTAATAGCCAAATTAGATTCCAATGGGCACTTAGGGGACAATGTTCTAGAATTAACATTATCACAAATTCCACTCTAACCTAGGGTCAATATATGAGGAAATGAAGGAGGAAACAAAGAGTTTTAACCACTGATCATGCCATCAAGAAGGGAAAAGTAAAACAAACAAACAATGCTTATTATGCATTAGAATTCATGAATTTGGCAAATTTTTAAAGGATCTACTACATTAACACAGGTTTCAAGGTCAAGGACTGCAGCCTCCAATATGGATTGAGGCTCAATGTCAAGAAGACAGAGATTCTCATCACTGGACCAATTGGCAGCATCAGGATGGATGGTGAAGAGATTGAGATTGTTCACAGCTTTAGTTTGCTTGGCTCCTAGTCAACAGTCTTGGCACCAGTAGCCGGGAAATTAAAAGGCATATTGCCATGTGAAAGTCTGCTGTTAGGAACCTCTCCAAAGTACTGAAGAGCAATGGTGTCTCTCTGGAGACTAAGGCTGTCTGATACAGGCCATGGTCTTTGCAATCACTTGTTATGCATCAGATAGTTGAACAATGACAAAGGAGGATAGAAGGAGAACTGATGCCTTTGAGCTGTGGTGCTGGAGAAGAGTACCATGGACGGCTAGGAAAACAAACAAATTCATGCAGGAAAGGGTTAAACCAAGTGGCTCCTCGGAGGCAAGGATTCTGAGGCTTCGTCTACATACTTTGGAGATGTTTTAAGGAGAGACCGGTCCTTGGAGAAGGACATCATACTTGGGAGGGTGGTGGGACAGTGCAGGAGGGGAAGGCCCTCTATGAGGTGGATTGATTCAGGGACTGGGGTAATCAGGACGGGAGTGTCAGAGACAGTGCGACTGGCACAGGACAGAGCAGAGTTTAGGGCTGTTGTACATAGGGTCGCTATAAGTTCCAAACGACTCGATGGCACATAGCAACAACTACATTAACACAAGAGCCAGAAAGTGTCACTACTTGAGCAAAAAGGTCCCAAGCAGACAATGATCAAGATTTAGCTCTGGGAAGAGTAATTTTTCCCAGCAAAGAGCCATACAATAACCACTTTATGCTTATGGGTTTCTGTTACAACTCGTCAACCTCCCCTATTGTAGCACAAAAGGAGTCCCAGACACTAGATGAACAAATGTGCATGTCTGTGTTCCAAAAAAAAAAGAAAACTCACTATTTATAAAAACAGGCAGTGAAAACTGGGAGTTTGGGCGACAGGGTATAGAGTTTGCCAATTTCAACTACATTTTAGCTTATAATCTTGACCTGCAAGGACATCTACTTGGCTGTGCTAACTGTGGGATGCCAAATATCAAATTTAATATTAACATTTAACCAAATGCTGCATCAAGAAATGAGAGAAGAGTAGATACAGGCTAGAATTCTCCCTGTAGCACCAAGGCTGACCTTGGGCATTTTTCTATTTCTTAGTTTGTATTTACTAATCCCTCCGAGATAAGCATAGGGTTAATAATAGCGAAGAATTTGACCTCATTTGCGAAAGATTTCTCTGTGATTTACCTGCTCATGATCCTTTGGTGTTGTTTACCTCCCAGTGATTTTTCTTTACTTCCAGAAGATTCTCAATAAAACCACAGAAAGGCATAACAAGGGGCTTCAGTTCTTCCAGCTGTTAACCCCTGCCTTCATGCTTTCTGACCTATCCTCCATTCCTGTGTGTCTCTGTCTGTCTTTTCCCTCAACCGACAACAGCTAACTACATGAATGTGGAAGAAGTCTCTCTAGTTTAGAAGTTGGTTCAGATTTGAAGCATTAGTTAAATGATCCACAGAGCAGTTATTACTCTAACAGAATCTTGATATTCTGTCTCAAAATCTGATCCAGTCACAATGATTGGAACCGTAGAAAAGGGGGTGAGAGAGAAGTCTAGCTCCAGTTACTCTGGTTGGGTTTGAACTTCACTTCTAACTATAATCTAAAATAGAAAAGAACCTCTCCATATATAACTGAAAAGCTTCACCTTCTTAATAGTTCCTTTGTTCCCACCAGCAACTTTACCTTACTTTTTGTCTTATCTTCTAAGTTTGCCTTTTCTATCCACCTTACACCTTTTCAGAATTCCAAGCCACTTGACCACCCACCTAGAAGCAAAGCTGTTACTGATCTTCTGAAAATAAACAAAAGCTGAAGAAATAAAAAGTACCAAATTGTTCAATGTGATTCCCACAAATACTCAAAATAATACAGGAAATGTTCATCGAGGAAAGATTTCTTTCTCTTTACTAAAAACCAGGTCTACATTATCTTTGAAGGCTAGAACAGTATCAGTTGGTAACAGTAAAAGATTGACTTCTTACCATTGGCTAAGTCTGTTTTGCCATCTGTGCTGCTCCCTTTACTGGACATCTTGAAAGAAGTTTATAGCAGCCAGCCTGGATTTGTAAGGAGTAGAAAATTAATCAATCAGGAAACAAGTCTATGAAAGACAGAGGGGCAGAAAAATTTAACAATGTACACCTTTTGTCACTTTTATAAAAATAAGCTTTTTTGTGTATGTTCTTAATAAGGCTTTTCAACAAAAGAAATTATCTGTAGAAATCATGCTGGTTGGGTGGGGGGGGTTGAAGGAAATTGGAAAAATCTGGTCTGAAAAACAATGTGTTTGTGGCCTAGTGGCGAGAAGCTGCACTGCAAACCCAGAGGTACGCAGTTTGAATCCACCAGATGCTCTGTTGGAGAAGGAGGGGCAATCTCCTCCTGTACCAGTCAGATCCGATCTGAGGGTACACACACAAAGAATAAAACAAAACAATTAAAAAAACCCAAAAACAATGTGTTTGAATTTTGCAAATAAACTATTTAAAAAAAACAACACAATGTACATGCATGAAACAACATGTATCAATGATTTTATGCAAACCAATAAAATATAAAAAGGGGGGGGCGACCAAGGCTTCTCAAATCCCTAAATGGTGGTTAGGTTTTCACTGTACATAAATTCCATAAACAGTACAAGCTTTGGGAAGTCAAGTGCCAATTCTTTATCTTATTCATGGAGTAAACTGGAAGTGTCTTTTCAGATGCAATAGAGGAAACAGAAGAAAAAACAAAACCCTAACTTAGAACAGCACACATATTACAAGTGACAGGTACTGCAAACAAAGAATCTCAGCTCAAAAAGCAAGCTTCAGCACTGCACCCCACAATCCAAGAATACTGTTAGTGATACACCTGCAAAAAGCTTATCTGGCAAAAATTGTGTGATATTTGTAACAATGACCGAAAAAACAGAAGAGCAGCTGCTGAGGCTGCTTATGCATAAGCAAAAACCTTATGGGGCTGAATTTCTTGTTTGGAATTTTAGGGTCATGGCTTCATTTGACTCCTAGTTAATTGGCCTAACAACGTGTTCTCCCTACTAGGTCCTAAAAGCCTGCAAGTGGATTTTCTAAGTACAACGTTTTGTTGGTTTTTTTTTTACCGGGAACAACAGAAGACCAAGACAGGAAGAGCTACGAAGTACGTGGCTAATTCTCTCCATGAGCAACTACTGCTTCTTATGCCATGAACCAAGAAGAACTAGATAGTACCAGACTCCTACTATTACTGAACATTCTGATAAAAAATTCATGGAAGTATCCAAATCAAAAGGGAAGAAATGAACAACAGAATTACCAATTCTCAATTACTTTAGACTTTCTGGAGCTAAGGAGAAGAGATGAACTCTTAGAACTACTACCATGAGATAATCTCTAACTCTTCAAACAAAAATATTCCTTAATGTCATCATTTCCAATTGGAAAACAAAGTTGGCCTAGTGGACAGAAACTGATGCTACCAAGCCAAAGGTGGGTGATTTTAAGCTGTGGCCCTTAGGTCTGGTTTTAATTGGTTTGAGTCAAACATTCTTCTAAGTGGCATAGCACTGAGCTGTCCATTTGCTCTACCTAAGTAACTTGTGGTGGCTGAGATGCATCGTGACACTAATGTGTCAAATGGCATACCGGCAACCTGTGGTGGACAGTGTTTGGTGGAGCTCACCAATTAAAACAAGCTTGGAAGCAGGAGTGGCATCCACTTCTGAAATGGCTTGCCTCCAGAAACCCTATGAACTTGGAGAAATGATGGAAGTTATACAAATGTTCAGGTTATTTCGTCCAAAGGGTCACTATGAGTTGCCTATGACTCAAGAGCAATTAACAACGTCATCTTAAAAAGAAAAATCAATAAATTGCTCAATCCTAGGCACAATCAATAAACTGCTCAATCCTAGGCAGGAGGCCCCCACTCAACCCCAGCAGGACCACCCAATTGGAACCTTGAACAAATTTCTGCAATAAACACTTGTGATTTAAAAAACCAAAAAAACCAAACAAACAAACAAAAAAAAACAACAACCAATCAATAGGTTAGATTAACTGGTTAAAAAAAATTGCCTTCAGTAATACATTCTTTTAAGATCAATATGGAATTAAACTGCCAACAGCAACTTAAAAGATAGATAGGAATCTTAGGGAATAGTGCCATCAATGTTAATGAAGAAGGAACAACTCAGAAAAGAATGGCTGCAATCTCAAAAGAATAATCAAGGTCACTAATTTGTATGTTTTGCTATGTATACTTATCAACAATAAAATAAGTAAAATTCAGGGGGAAAACTGTCATATGTAGGCACATTTGTCTTCAAAGCATGAAGAGGTAGGTGAGTCTGATATTTTACATACACATTACAGAGAAAAGACATTAAGTTCTTCTTGATTTATATTCCACTCACATGGCTACCTTCAAACTTATAAGCAAAAGATATTAATGATTCTAACAAGTAAAGCTGGAGTTAAGAGTCTCGACCATTCTTTTCCTAATAAGTCTATAGGGAGTCTTTTATCAGGATTAACAACAGTCAGTTAGCAAGCAGAAAGCTGGGGGGAGGGGAGGTCAGCACTTCCATTAAACCACTTCACAACAGGACATATAATATTTCTCGTAATTCAATCACATTTCATCAGACTTCACATTTTTAACAAACCCCTAGACAGGAGTCACGTACCTAGCTTTTATCCTCTAACGTCACAGTAAAACAGATTTTTCGGGTTGTTGTTTTTTCATTCAGGGCCTTATTCCTACCTCTATCAAATCCCAAAGAAAAAATGTATTCAGACCATACTTTTGTTAGGTCCTTTCAGTGCCTTGGACAAAAGGCATTGGTAAGAAGACAAAGTATGATTATGGCCCCAGTCTTTGTACTCGGGCACATTGGCCTCTAATCGTTCAACAATCCTTTCATTCTTGTAACAATTCTCCCAGAAACAGCCCCACCCTTAACCTTGCCAATCACTGTCCTCTACAGAAATCCAAGTATTTTCATGAAAAGTATCATCTACCAAGAGATGGCTGCTCAAAGATTGCCCACAATAGGTCAGGGTTAAGGAAGAGAAATACCAGAGCAGGGCTGAAGCTGAATTTGAAGGACAACTAGAATCCCGATAATGAAAGACAAGAAGAAACAGATTTGTGAAGTCACATAAGAGAAAACAGTGAAGAGTTGTTTGCAGAGTAGGCTGTTTTCCAAGTTGTCTTCTTTGCATGCATATATTTTTTGCATCATGTTCCTCACACAGCACTTGTTTTTCCCTTTCAGAAATCCATTTGGAGATCTTTTTGTTTTGGGTTTTGGGGTTTTTTTTTCTTAGCATCTCTGCAATATTCGTGTCCTCATATATAAGGTTTAAACAAATACTAATTGTGAAAGTTTTATCAAGTGGGAAAGATGGCACTATTTTTAGAATTAAAAGTTATGATCATAAGCCTACCAGTATATTATGGTCAAATGAGAACAGACCCGATATTTTTTTCACACCAGACAACACTGTATGATCCACTCTCAAAGAATAATGAAAAAAGCATTTCTAAAGAATCTTTCTCAAAACTGAGAATCTCAGGGAGCTTTGGTGGCCTAGTGGCAAGAAGCTGCACTGTGATCCCTAAGGTATGTGGTTCGAATCTACCGATGCTCTGCTGGAGAGGGAGGGGCAGTCTCCTCCTGTACCAGTCATATCTGACTTGACAGTATACACACAAATGTAGTAATACTGAAAATCTCATCAGTTTCTACAGAAGCCTCGACTACTTAAGTCTTCAGACTCTTCAGTCTCTAGAAAACACATTCCCTTTCCCAGCTTCTGTAACTACGAGGAACCAAAAGCCTAATTTCTACATAGCTCTGAGAAGTGGGAAAAGAGGAGTTATAAACTTTAACTTAAAGCCAGAGATTACAGAGTTAAGTCTTTTAGGAAAATCAGGTTAAAGTTCTTCTAAGAGGGGAGCAGAACTTTAAGGAAAAATGTAGACATGTACAATTTGTTAAATTCAGAAGGATTAAAAAAAAAATTCAGAAGGATAAATTCCAATGAATGCTTATGTCTACCCTGTTTCAACTGAACTGGCAGGCAGGTAGCTTCTGCAGACCACATTTTAGGGGGGTTTTGCGTTTAGCAGACTTTATCCTAGACTGAAAATTAGAAATCCAAGTTTCTAATACTGGTTGTCATTAGCATACTTTGTAGCCTTAAAAAACTACTTAAGAGTGCTGTTTTTATGTTCCATTGAATCAACTGCAACACATAACAATCCTATAAGCAACAGATCTAAATCTTATCCTATTCTCTATCATCCTCAGTATCTCTGATGTGCTTGAGCCCATTGTTACAGGGTTCTCAAAACCTTATCAACTTCTATCAGTGAAAACTACCTAAGTTTCCAATATATGTGTGTGCATGCACACACGTACACTCACAAGAGTCAACCTACATTAAGTATTAAGTTTAACTTCTCCAGAAAATAATAGGAATCTCAGTATTATTGTTCTATATACCACTGGATCATCTTGCAGATCCTCTAGTGTACATACAACTTCACTTTGAGGGATCACTTCTCTAGAAAACCAAAAAATGAAGATAGTAAAACATAATTAGAGATGAAGTTATTCTTAAAAGGCAATATAAACATAAAAAAAATTACTACATTTAAAACCACCTGAGAGTAAGACCCTCAACTAAAGGAGAAAAGATAAACACCTACAGATTCATATCTATTATGAATGTAGATGCAAAAGTACTTAACAAAATATTAGCAAATAGATTTCCATAATAAGTAAATAAGGGGCCCTCATGGTGTGTTGCTTAAAGCACATAGCTGTTAACCAAAAGATTCTGCTCTAAATCATCTTAAGAACCACCACCACTCCATTATCTCTCTCATCACGAAAGAATACGGGTATACCTCAGAGATACTGTCGGTTTGGTTCCAGATTTTTGTAATAAAGCAAATATTATGATCACACAAGACAGATTTTTTTGGTTTCCCAATGCTCATATGAAATTTGTTTACACTATATGATAGCCTATAAAGTTTGCAATAGTAGCATTTGGAAAAA